AAAAAGGGAAATGTGGCTTTCCTTTTGCAGTCACCGAATGCCCCAGCACTCACTAAAATCCTCCCAAGAGAAAACTGGGAATGCTGGTGCAGCTGACTGGAACACTCTGCACACACCCTGCTGGTCTCACATTGTGCAATTCCATAAAAATGTGCTTTATTTTCATGGACAACCCTGACCACTTCTCCTTGTGCTTGATGGAAAGGAGCAAGGATCAGCAGAATTACTGAAATTGGGCTTCAGAATTGGGAAATGACTGAAATTCCCTTCCAAAGAATGGAAAGTCCTAGATGGGGAAAACTTGGAATTGCTCTACTCCTCGTGGACTGGACAGGGGTCCAGGGAAGTGAGGAAATTCCTGAAATTTTTCCATTTCATTCCTGGAGAATGAAATTTCTGGATTTCATTCCTGAAAGGGATCAAGGGAAGTGAGGAAATTCCTGAAATTTTTCCATTTTATTTCTGGAAAATGAAATTTCTGGATTTCATTCCTGACATCTAGATGATTTCAGGTCCTGAAATCATCTGAATGGTATAAACTGGGAGCAGAGTAAGTTTCTGATGGTCTAACTAATGCTAGTTAATATTTCAGGTGCAGTGGCACCTGAAGGTGGTTGTGATTCATTGTTAGATCACAAATACCTCACGCAGGCATCCAGCATCTGAGCCTTGAAGCAGCTGAATCTGGTCTGATTCATAAAAATAAATGCGTTGAACCCTTGAATTAATCATCCTGCTCCTTCTCTATTTTCAAGTTCATTTGGTTTTGCTGTTTTTTGGACAATTTTCATGCATTTTATTAAACGTATGACTCTGCTGCCCTGCATTGCTTTTGAGGAGTGTTCCCTTGTTCCATTCATTTTAAAGGGAATTTTCCAAGGAAAATCAACACCAGCCCAGGTGCTTGGCCTGGATTTGGGGACCCTGGGCTTGGCCTGGTGCAGTGTCTGCAGCAGGAGGTGACATTGGGGAGGGAACCTGCACCTCCTGCATGGTTTCGGTGTCTTAATATGATTAAAGGATAAATAATACTAAATGTTTCCTTAATAGGAGAAAATACCCAGCATTGACAGTAGTGATTAAGTTCCATTAAACAGTTGTTAGTTTGGACACCAGGTGATTAGTACATCCAAACCACTTCATTTCCAGACTTTGGCACCTTGCTCATTACTAACCCAAGCCATAAAGTTCAGTGAATCAAGTTGTAAATAGTTTTATTGGTCCCATGTTGGGAAAAAAAAAAAAAAAAAAAAAAAAAAGAAAAAAAATGGAGGGTTGTGAAATTCCTGGATGATTTCAAGTTAGGTATTTCTTAAGTCCTTGTGTTTCTGCTTTCTGTTCTTTAGTTATTCATCATTGCAGAGGATTTAAATTCTGTTTCTGCTTTGGCAAGCACTAAATCCAGTGGGCTAGTTGAGAGTTGTATTCCTAAAAAAAAATAAACCAAATGGAGAGAGGGCTGGAGATGCACCCAGCTTGCCATAGTTATCCAGGGGAGGAATTTCCTCAAGGACACCAGAGGAGCAGCTTTTACAGCTCCTGGAGAAAAGTCCACAGTCACCCACATGCTGCTAATTATTGAATAAAACACAGAACCTCATGCTTCTGTTTGTTTGCTGAAAATAATTCTCACCTTTTTGAGAATTATTTCATGTCCATTTGATGATAAAATGTCCTTCCAAGTAGTTTTTGTTTATTTACTTTTATTTTTAATGAAAGTTTAGGAATTGAGTCGTATGTCCTGACACATTTCAAGATGTCAGTGCTATTGCAACAAGGCTCATTTTAATACCTCTTAAGTGACTGGGAGCAAATTTTTGGTTTCTCCAAAGCAATTTGAGGATTAGAAAGATGTGCTGGCTTCACCCTGGTTTAGCTTTCAAATTGCCATGTGTCCTGTTAAGTCTGTTTATGATTTCAGTGACCCTTGCATCACTCCCATGCCACTTTTACAAATTGCTGCCGAGGTGTTTATGGCCAGGTTTCTTTCCCAAATGTAAGCAATTTTTTTTTTTTTTTTTTTCAGGAGCCTGCCCAGAAACCATCATCTTTTATGGTGTGGTCACAGAAATTGTGTGTTTTTAGCAGGGCAAGGCCTCCCTGCTCCCTCAGAGTGCATGTGTGTGCCTGCAGAGGCTCTGTGTGTGTGCAAGGCAAGGCAGGACAGCTCCATAACTGCAGGGAGAATCAGGAGGTGGCTCCGAGTCACCCACTTACTCACTGCTGGAAACCTGTGTTTTGTGGTTTTGAAGAGTAGTTTTTTAGGCCAAGTCAGGCAAAAAAAAAAAAAAAAATACACAGGTCCCCTCCTCGTCTCCAAATTTATCACTCGTGGAAAAGCAAACTTGGTGTGAGCTGAGGAGCTGCAGTGAGAATCCCAGCTGAGCACAGCAGGTGCTGAGCTGGCAGTTTCACAGCAGATTGTGAAATTTGATCTCACAATGGGAAATGGAGCCACTCCTTGAGGGCAATATCTGGAAACATAATGGGGAGCCACCCTTCAAAGGTGATCCGGGTAATAATGGGGCTTAGAAACACTTTCTACCTGCTTTGCTTAGAAAATTATGAAAATTTTTAATAGTGTTACTGGTTTTTGCACAAGCACACTATATTTAGCTGTACCTCAACTGGTCCTGAGCTCAGACACACCCAAGGCACCAAACTGCCCAGTGCCACCACCACTGCAAGATGGAAACTGGTCATGGAATTCTCCTTGTGTCCTGTTTGTTCTTCTCTTCTCTTCTCTTCTCTTCTCTTCTCTTCTCTTCTCTTCTCTTCTCTTCTCTCTTTCTCTCCTCCAGATTTTCACCCCTATTTTTTCTGAGTAACTCCCACTGCAGATAAATGTGGTAAATCTGTGCTCAGCCACGTTAATGAAGGTGGAACACCCAACATTAATGCATTGGCCCCATGACACTCTGTGCTACTTGATGTCTCCCTCCTTTCTTCTTGAGATTGGCATAAAGATTGCACCTGTGCTCCTGCAGGTTCTTTATGCACACCACAGCCTCTGAATAATGTAGACTAATAGAAAAGACTTCAAAGAACCATAACAGAGTTTTAAAAGGGCTGGAAGGAGAGGCCAATGGGAAATGTTATAAGAATTCCACCTTTCCTGCTTAGCTAAGCAGTAATTTAGGAGGACATGTAAAGTCTACAGGAGAATTTCAAAGAAAACAAAAAGCAAACAAAAGCAGAGCACACTGCCCTGTGTGATGCTGGAGACAAAGGGAGGGAGAAGGGAGAGGCTCTCAGCAAAGCATCTGCTCCAGTTTGGCATTTTTTAAGTCCTCAGACAGAGGGTGAGCAGAGTAATAATGAAAATATTTAGAGAGATTTGGGTGTTATTTGGTAGAGGTAAAAGCAGAGGGAAAGGAGAGTGGTGTAGCAGTGACCTGAGCAAGTCATTATGTGATTGGAATCTGTTGCCCAGGAGCTCATTAGCAGCAGAGAACAAATGCCTTTCCTTCTGGAGCTGTGGATATTCTGCTGGATCTCTATCTCACATCAAATTAAAACTCTGTCAAAGCCACAGGAGGATTAACACCACCAGGCTGTTCTTTCCAAGACAGAGATTTCCACAGCTACTGGAACCATCAGTGCTGAGGAATTAATGACCAGCAGACACCAGAATTGTCTGGGTCTTTGGAACTGGAAAAAAGCTGCAGCAAGTCAGTGAATTTGGACATTTTCTGAATCAAAATTACGCTGCACGCTGCCTTAATCTCCTAATAGTTAGTATTAATAAATAATTTTTTAATTTTTCTCTAATAATTAGAGAAAGAAAAAAGAAGGATTTTTGAGGAGAACATACTGCTTTAGAGTGAAATTCCCTCATTTTCACTCTCATGGAACCAGTATGGAGATCCCACCAGAGTGGGGTTTCAGAAATGCACTTTGTGCACCGTTGAAGCAGGAAACAACAGAACAAAGGTTTCAGAGCAAACTTCAGGGGCACACATTGAGCAACTGCTCTGCCTGAACCCAACCTCATTTATGGCACCAGGAGATCGTTTTGGCAAAGTGCTTTTGGACATTTTTCAGTTGGGTCATTAGGAATTTATCTGCTACTGAAAGTCAGCTCCAGCAGAACAGGGGTGAGATACGGAACAGGATTACATAATAGGCTTTCACAAAGGAAAATCTTGGGCTGCACAGTCCAAGAAAATTTGACTCAGTAATAATAACAACATAATTGCTACTTCAAAGATAAGAGAAAATCAACTATGCTGATTTCTCTGATTATTTAAAGATATTGTAAGTGAGAACATGGACAAGCAGTTGATATCTGGAAGACAGAAGCAGTGATTTATAATTAAAAATATAAACTCTAGAAGACAGGGGTACATTAAAAAACACTTTAATTCAGTCTTACGTATTTTAGAACACAGGGATTCTCTCCTTTTCACGGAAATGCCTTACCATGAACTTGCAGGCTGTAATGTGACATAAATAACACCGGGGTGGATGTTCTGGGAGAAAATTCATCTTTTACATTCCCAACAAGGGGACTGCAAATAAATACATTTCAAACTAGGAGGGGCTGACAGTGCTTTTTCTGCTATCACACAATACACAGCTTGCTGTCAGTGCCCCCAGAGTATATAACAATCATGTACACCTTGAACATTTACACATATACAGGTGGAGAGCTGTGACAGCACAAAATCAGGAGCTCAGAGTCTCTCTCCTTCCTTTTCCCTATTCACACCTCTCTCTTATTTTCTTGCTGCAGATTTCAGACTTACTGTAAAAGCACTGGGGGCAAACACCCCTGCAGAGGCAGAAAACCTAAAGGTGGGAGGGCTGCAAAGCCAAAAATCACCTCAATCCTCCTACAGAACCCAACAGCAACCGGGCAATTTCACTGCTGTTACCACTGGGAGGATTTTGCTTGTCCTTTTGCACAGAAGAGGCTTTTCTCTAAAGCTGTGTGGGTGAGAGCCCTGCTCTCCCTGCAGCTCTGACAGGAGCAGTCCTGGCTCTGTGCCCTGCCCAGGTCACAGGCAGGTCCCTGTCCTGTTGGCCCACGAGGGGAAGGTCTGCAGCTGGAACAGGGATGAGGCCCAGGTGTTGATGGCCAGGGTGATGGTCAGAACTCCCAGAATGTTGAGTACAAACCCAGCTTTGGCCTAGAATTAGAAAAGAGAAGGGTTGTTAGCAGCTCTGAGCAGTTTTTTCCCTTTCTTGAAGCTTAGGATGGTTTGCAGGGTTTGATTTTGTATTTGGTGTGTTTTTTCCACCAAATTATATTTAAGTTGTTTTTCTTCAGAAATATAATTTGTATAAAGGGAAAGGTTTCCATTGGATAAAACTCTTAAAACTACAAGTCCCCAAATCCTTTTAATCCACTTCTCTTCTGACCTGGTATTTCTCTCTAATGTTACTTTGGGTTTCTTCTTGGAACAGCATCAATGAATTGGCCCCATGTTATAAGTTATGGAAGCTATCAAGAGACTTGGCACTGCTGTCCTTGTATCTTTAGTGACTTCTTCAGTCTCTAAAGATTCAAGAGGGCACCCAGTGAGATGTGCCAGGCTGTTCCCTGTCCCTGCAGAAGGACAGCCCACGTGACAGGGCCCTTGGACACCCTCATGCTCTACATTTGGGTTTTTCCAAGCAGTGAGACATTGACAGCTCTTATTATAAAATCTTCAAGAGGCCCTGGCTGTTCTTTAAAGGTTCATTAGCACCTTTCTAAGATTCTCAGAGTGTATTAGAGACAGTGTGACCCTTTATTAATGCACACACTTCTTTCCACTTGACATAAGACAGGCACACTGACTCTTCTAACTCTCCAAGAAGAACCAGAATAAGGAAAAGATCAAACCTAGGGGTGAAAATTCTGGAAAAAAAGTGTTGTTTTTTTTTTCTCACCATATCAATAACCTTGAGCTGTCCATAGGAGAAGACAATGGCATTGGGAGGAGTTGCCACGGGGAGCATGAAGGCCAGAGATGCAGAGAGTGTGCAGGGCAGCATGACATAGAGAGGGTTGAGGCAAATTGCTTCAGCCTGTGGACAAAAAGAGAGCAGAGATGATGGGTTTGACACACAGAAATGCACAGAAATCTGGTTGTATTTGTCCATGTCAGAAGGCTCATTCTCCCCCAAACACTGCAGCCACTCATATTTTGCTGCTGCTTCAGGCACTTCCAGCATCTTTACGCAGCAAAGGCAAGAATTGATTTTGTGGTCAGGACTTTGTATAAATGGATAAAAAATGCTTATATTCAGCTCCAAACCCTGGCTTTGAATTGGCTAAGAACAAAATTAAAGCACCAGGGGAGGCAGGTGAAGCTGTGGAGGTGAGAGCTTTGGTTTAGGGGCTGGCTGGAGTCTGTGGCCTATGCAAAAAGATTTTGGAGGAGCTCATTCCAGTTTCTGTCTGGAACCAGCCTTGCAGTTTGCAGAACTCTGTCTGCCCCAGCAGCAGGAATCTCCTGTGGAAATGCAGAAGTCTGAATTAGGTCATGCTACCACCTTCAGAGGCTTCTGCAAGGCCTTGGTGGGGGTGAAATACAGTCATGGAATGTTGCAGGCAAGGAAATGCTGCTGCTGCTGTCTCCATGCAGAACAAATTGGAAAAAACAAGTACAGCTGGCAGTGACCTCATGTTTAGGCCAGAAGGAAAAATCTTCATATGCCAGCGAATTTAATCCCTTTGCTTTTCCCCAGCAATGGTTCCAGGAAGGTTGAATAAGCACGGTGTGTGTTCCTGTGTGCACACACAGATTTTTGTTTCACCCTGATGGGACATAGGAACCAGGGCTTGGCTTTGCCAGTAAAATTGATCACTTTAATTTTGGCAACTGAGGAGCTGAAAGCTGTTCTTACAAGAGTATTTTGACATGCTGGGACTCACCATAGAAGCCAGGATGGGGAGGAAGAGGGTGGTGGTGGCCACGTTGCTGGTGCACTCGGTGAAGGTGGCGATGAGGAGGCACAGGAGGAAGGCAATGGCTGGGTGAGGGATGTTCTGCAGAGGGGTCAGCTTGGTGCCCAGCCATGCAGACAGACCAGATTCCTGCAGCAGAGCAGAGAGGGAGGCCAGGTTGGAGAGGGAAGAGCCACATCAGTGTTCTGGGGCAGCTCTCATGCCAGCTCAGCCCTCCCTCCCCAGAGCAGTTCTCATGCAAACTGCAGGAAAACACAGCCAGGGCTCACAGACAGGATTGTCCAGTCAGGTAAACAAAAAAACTCCAACATTATTTCCCATCCAAGGAATTGGAAAGTAGGAGATCCTGCATTTATATTGCATTATTGACAGCAAATAATTATTTCTCTGTTCAGATCACTACTTGTACATGATCAATATTCGAGGTGCTTTTTTATATATAAGCAAAGATATTTGAATTAACTTCCTAAAATATTTTAATATAAATCTTATCAGATGCTGTAGTGATTTAATGTTATTTCATCATATTGTCTGAGATCTTGATAACTGTCTGAATCCTTTCACACCCTTCATCCTTGTCAGACACTGGGAAGGAGCAGCATCCTCCCTGTCATTCTGGGCTTTCTGCAGCAGCTTTTATGTATTTGGTTAATTATTCTAGGATAAATTAAAGTGATTTCCTAATTATTTCTTTTTCCAAACAGGTACTTTTCCATTTTAATGTTGATCTTTGAATTCTAAACTAGTATTTCTGGGCACTTGAAGCCTTTTAGAATTTCTTTATTGCCTATAGATTTAATAAACGGATTGTCTGTTCCATCACTTAAATCATTACTGAAAAATAATGTGTGGCACAGGACATGAAGTTTCTCTAGCATGCTCTACATTTCTCTTCTAATAGCTGAATTTAAACCCTATTTTCATAAATCTTTGTTTTGAAATACTTTGGAGACCCCTCCTGGGTGAATCATCTCATCGTGCTGGCTGCACCAATTACATTTTATTTAAAAGAAATTTTTAATAAATTTGTTTGGGGCTGTTTATTAATCGGCCAATTTTCTAGAAACACAGCCAATGGTGCAGCCAATGGCACGGGGAGCAAGCAGGATGTGATGCCAGCCCTCCAAGGATGGTCCCAGTGCCAGGAGCTGGGGAAAAGGAGCATTTGATGCTCCGGGTGTGCCCTCTTGTGTCCTGGGAGAGCACAAGGAGCAAGGTGGAGAAGGAGCCAGCCAGGAAAGCACAGGTCCCAGGTGAGCTGAGGGATGTTACCTCGCTGCCCTTGGCCAGGGCAAAGCCCCCTCCCAGCAGGAACACGATGTTCCAGGGCATCTTCTCCTGCACCACCTTCCAGTCCAGCAGGGGTGGAGGGGCCCGGAACTTTGCCCTGCCCCCTGGAACACACAAAAAAAGAGATTTTGTGAAACCACAAAAACCCCCAAAGAAAGGGAGAACTACTTGGGAGCTTGGTCTGAACATCAGGAATCTCTTCTGTCAGCAAACTCTGGAATTATCTCCCGAAGCAAACGCTGGGAGCAAGAGCAACAATGGTTTTAGAACTTGACTTGCAAAAGCTCTAAGGAATGATCTTTGCTGCTCCAAGAAGCTCAGTAGGAGGCAGGGAAGGGTGAGTTAAAGGTGTGGCAGCAGCTCCGTGTGTTTCTGTTGTGTGTTCCCTCCTGAAGATTCCAGCTTGGAATCCTTTACAAATGGGAATAACAGGGGGCAGGAACACTGCTGGGATAAGAGTTTCCTAATTAGTTAATGAGAAACTGATTAGTTGATGAATTCCTGAATAGTTGATTAGTTTCCTCATAAAATTATGAGAAACAGAGATTTTTATGTGACATGTGCTTTGCCAAACCTAAAGCACACAGCTGGAAGAGCACTTTGAAGTGTTATTTGATATTTGAAAATTCCTTTGTAAACCCCAAATGGGAACATTTCCCACACACCTCTTCAGACAGCAGATTTTTGGTGCTTCAGTGACTCACCTGTTTGCTCTTGGTCTCTGTCCTGGTTGGAGAAGCCAGAAGGGAGGATGAAGAGCAATATTGAGATGAAGAGGGCGACTGTAGCATCAGTGACATAGCTGCAGGAGAGCAGGCAGGAGTTTAGGTAGTTAGTATTATATAACACTAATATATTAGTATATTAGCTGTGATTCCAGCTGGATAAAATCCAGCCTGTTCCATTTTTATTCCAAGTGAGGAGGAGAAAGGTATAGATAATACCTTGTGTTATCTTTGTTGAAGAGAACTGTTGCCCAGCCTGGGATGAACCCAGGTTCTCTTGTAAACCACAACACCACCAGGAGAACAAAGAGGATTAAAACTTGTATTTCTGCAAAGCTCATTTTGCCCAGTTTCTTGCTCTCTTCCTTGATGATTTCATAGGCCTGTTTCTCCTTAGCCTTGGCAGCAGGACTGACACCACAACCAAAATTCTTCTTAAAACTGGAAGAAAATGGATGAGAAGTGTCAGAGAAATTTGCCAGGTATCTAGAGAGTTAAGAACCCAAATTTATTCTCAATCATAATGTTTTTATATGCATTTAAATATGAATATTGAAATTAAATATATTATAATTTGCAACCATGGTGAGTAGGAGCTGCATGTCTTGACAGGATGATCAGAAAGACAAGATGATCTTGTCCCTAAAAGCTCATTACTTTAATGTAAATAAGTGAGATATATGGACATGTGAGGAAAAAAAAAAATACAGAATCACAGAATGGTTTGTGTTAGAAGAGACTCTAAATTCCATTTCATTCCAATGAAAGGGCAGGGACACCTTCCACTAGACCAGGACAATGTTAATGTGATTGACAAGGCTGTTTGATCACTTTGCTAGGAAGTAAAGAGCTGCCAAGCTTTTTAAAATGACAGAAAATGAGAATTTTAAAGGAGGAATTTGAAGTTGAAAATACCATTTCAGGTGTTACAGCACTCTTTCCATGTAACATGAAGGAAGTTGGGATTACACAAACATGAAAAGCTGAGTATTAAACAGGCAGGCAATGCAGGCTGGTTGTGTGGGGTGAGGTGCTCCAGAACCAGCCCAGAACTAATCCTGTAGGTCTGAGGCAACCCTGGTCACAAAGGCATTTACAGCCCTCTGTAGAAATCAATTTCCTGCTTTGGAGCACAGCAATCTCCTAGGACACGACAGCAATGCTGCAGAACAGGTCATGTGCACTCACAGCTCCCTGTTTTCATCTACAGGGCACATTTAGCCAGGATTTAATCAGATTCCTCAAAGGAAAAGTGCAGAATTTTAACAGGCACCGAGTGCTGTTCTGGTCTCTGCTGTGCGTCAGGATTCTGCCACCTTCTGAGTGATTTTTCTCATCAAAAAAGGGTCACCGGTGTTGAGCAAGTCGTGATCAGAGCCCCCAGGTGCATGGCAGGGGCTCAGGGTACTCACTTGAAGCCCAGGTACAGGATCTGCAGCCAAATCCAGGCCAAAATCAGCAGCACCAGCATGGTGGGGAAGGCGAAGGAGAACCAGGAGGCAAAGTTGATGATGCCACCATTGTTTGGGAAGATGCTGGAAAATGCAGGTGGCTGTTAGCACCCAAAATTCCACACTCCCTTCTGTCCTTCATTAATGAGCCAGAAAAGGGGAGGTTCTGTGGGGCCCATTAGGGAAGAGAAGCTCCCAGGAAAGGCACCAAAGTGACATTTTCCTTCTCTGGGAGTCAGCTGGAGCAGAATGCTGCAGTTTTGGGGGTGTTTAATCCCAGACTTACTAATTAACTTGTCCTTGCAGCACCAGGTTTGGGGTTGTCCCAGTCAGAGTGGCAATCCCTCCAATGCTGGATGAGTAACAAATGCACAGGGACATTCCCTTGGACAGCTTCAAGTGCTTCTTCTCAAGCTCTTCTTTTCTCTTTTTCTCTTCCTCAATCACCAGGACATGAGAATTACCTAGATCCCAAGGAACAGAAGAGCTGCAGGAGCTATGTTGGACAGGAGAAGGCCTCGGGCCTGCAGAATTTAATATTTCAAGGCTAGGACACAATGGATTCAAAGCTGAGGGAACAAAATTCCTCCTTTTAAGGCTGGCATTGTTAATTTTTTGACCTTCTGCCCATTTTCACTGGTTGTCTTGACACATAGCAGTTTTTCAGAGGGGAATTTGAAATGTGTGTAAAGTTTTACACTTCCTTGTGAATGAGGGCAATGTCTGAACTGCACGTGGAGGGGAGTGAGGCAGAAATTCAGGGAATTATAACAGAGTTGGAGGAGCTGGGCTGAAGGGAGCTTTTCCTGCACCAGCACCTGTCTGCTGGCACTGAGATTTATGCTCAGAAACTTTGGAATCACCTCAAAAATGGGGAGAGGGCAAGACAGCTGGTAAAGAGATATTGTTGCTTGATTGTGTACCTTTGGATTAGAAAGATCTTTTTAATCCCTAACCTTCCAGCTGGAAACAGGCCAGAAATTTTGCCTTGGGAATCCCCTATGATATGATAAATTACACAGTGGATAATAATTGAACTGACATAAATATGCAGGAAAACAGCAAGCCTGATATAAAGGCTTCCCCTAGTGGAGAATTTGTACTTTTTTGGTCAGTTTGTTGAGTAGTTGGGAGCTTTTTGTATTTTTGATTTAACTTCAGCCAAGTAGTAGTAGTAGTAGTAGTAGTAGTAGTAGTAGTAGTAGTAGTAGTAGTAATAGTAATAGTAATAATAATAATAATAATAATAATAATAATAATAGTAATAGTAATAAATTGGGGTTTTGTCTGGTTCATGGAAGAACCTCATCAGGGCTGTGTGGTGCAGTCAGAATGTTTTGGGGACAGTTTTCTTTTAGGATTTAGTAGGAACTGCTACGACAGAAGAAAGGCCATCCTCCATCACCATGAAGAAAGAAACACCCCCAATCCATTCACCTTTTTCCTCAGGCTCTTTGGAGCTGTCAGGTGACTTTTCCTGCAGCTCAAAGGCTTTGTTGGTGTGTTCAGACACCTGGCCAGTGGTGCCAGACTCTGTTTCTGACTTGTGCAGCTGCTCCATCACGGCCTGGGCGATGGGGACCATCATGGCAGTGGTGGCTGTGTTGCTGATCCACATGGACAGGAAAGCTGTCACCACCATGAAACCCATCAGGAGCCTGCAATGAGAAGGTTTGGGAAAGCTGGATCAGAACCCAGCCCTGCAGTGCTCTTTATTTTTATTACAAACACTCAGCTGCAAATGCTGGGTTTGGAGAATGCTCAGCAATCCCCACCCAGCATTTCCTCCTGCTCTGGTTTGCTTTGTGAGCGACCCAGTTAAGATTTAACATCAATTTCTCTTTTTCAACCAATTTTTTGACATTCCTATGGCTAAGGATGTGGAAGCTGGTAGGCTGGAGCAAGCAGTTTATCCAGTCAGATCCTGCTTATCCCACATCATTCTCAGGAAGACATTTCTCAACAGCACATTTCAATGCATTACAATAGATTTTAAAGAGGGATTGCAAGCTGAATTTGATCCCAAATGGCAATCAGTTTAAGCCATAAGGAAGATGATCTCTTTTTTTTTTCCCTCTTGTTATTTTATCCCACCTCTATTATTTAAGATTCTTTTCTGAGTCATCTAAAATTCTAATCCTGGTTTCGGTATTACTCTGTTATTTGTCTCAAAATTATTCTTTAGATGAGATGTAGATTATGTATCAGATGAAAAAGGGTTTATCTTGTATGCATTTTTATTCTATTGCTTTGTAATTTCCTTCAGTATTCCCTCTTCTTATGAGCTGAAACTGATTAAACAGGGTGGTGTAGCCTGTGCATAGCTTAAAGTTCTAGTCTGGAAAACATTTGTTGTTTTCTAAACAAGCATCCTCATATTTTCTCTTCTCTGTGCAATCAGCAGCAGGCAGAAAGTCCATGTTCTTTGTGTTCCAGCTGTGCTTTTTCCTGACTGTCCAAAGTTGTGCTCCTGGCCCAGCCTGGCAGCACCCTTCTCTTTCCAGTATTGACTCCCTTGTTGCTATTTCTCCATCAAAAAGCCTTTTGGAGTTAAAAACCAAAATAAAACAAAACAAAACAAAACAAAACAAAACAAAATAAAATAAAATAAAATAAAATAAAATAAAATAAAATAAAGACACACCAGGTGTGTAACATCTTGACATTTGCAAGGCTTGCTCAGGCCCTAACTCACTTGGGCTGCAGGAAAGCATTTGCAGGGAAAGATTTGCAGATTCCCCTCAGAGATGGGGTCTAATGCCATAAAATCCTTCATCCCACAGCGTTTCCACCCCTGTCACTCACAGGGCTGGCCTGACACCCATGATCAGCAGGACCCTCAGAGCCACTCGCTTGTGCAGGTTCCAGGTCTCGATGGCAATGGCCATCACCAGGCCCCCCAAAAAGAGCATGTTGGTGTCCTTCAGGTACTCCTGACACACCTGTGAGGTGGGAGAGGGGAGAGGGAAGAGTCACAAGAGAGGGGGACATTTTCTGAGGGAGTTCATTCCAAAGGCATTAGCAGGGAGTAACTCTGAGTTGCATCCGAATGGGGAATTTGCTTTGATTTCAGATTAGCAGCTCCACCCAGAGCTCACTCTGGGCTCATGCATGTTCTAGTCCGTGGAGAAGACAGAGAATGATAAGAATAAAGTTAAAATAAAATAATAATACTATCAATAACATAAATATAATGATGGTCATCATATAATCCTGGGGAGCAATCCCAGAATAAAAGCAGCTGACTGATTAATACATGGAGCAAAATCTCTTACTGTGGTTGAATCCATGATATTCATTAGTGGGAACAGCAGGACGGGCAGGAGAGCTGTGACAGCCAAAGGCAGAGCTTCTGTGCACCAGAAAAGTGCCATCACTATGATCACATAGCCACAGAGTGCCTCCTGCCAGGGAAGGGGACAGCAATCAGAACACGCTGAACATCGAACCTGGGGCTTCTCCCAAGCCAAGGCCTCTTAATTACATCCACTGCCTGATAAAGGGATTAGATAAAAGGTTATTTCCTTTCCCATCTAGCCTCTGACCTCTGCAGATCCTAATCAAATGTCAAACTGTGAAGCAATCTCATCAGAACTCTGAGGAGCAGATGAGACCTTCAGCGGGGGCAAAAACAGCACTGGGGAAAAGAAGCGTGGGTGACTTTGGACTTTCATGATAAGGGATTGGCAATCACTGAATAGGCTTCTTGATTGTGCTGATGGTGTTATATTCAGATATTCTGATTGTGCTGATGGTGTTATATTCTGTATTTATGTCCTTGAGTTGTAGAATCAGTTGCTGATCCAGTCAAGATTTCTCCACCTGTTTCCACATGGGCTGCAGGTCATGGCCCAGGTGAACCACAGCTAATTTCAGCAGCTTGGACTCCTTGTACTGTAAATGCTTTTATAACTTTTCACTAGATTTTTAGCTTAGTAGAGACTTTGAAAGGCTGACTGGTCACAGATCATTTCAGCTTCCACTGACTTTGTCTTTTTTGTTTGGGGAAGGTGAGATTCCCTGTTTCATGTCACTCTTTTTCTGAGGAAACCTTGATTTAAGTTCTGCTTTGGACAACCACTCCAAATTTCAAGTAAAAATGTTTAAGCCAGTCCCTGCACACTGAAAAAATTCAAAATTACTTGTCACAACAGTGGCATTTGGTTGGGTTGGGAAAGAAAGTAAGAGGAGGGTTTGGTGTCTTCTGTGTTTTGGAACTTGCACAATTGTGGGAGACACCAAAGCCAAAGGAAGAAAACCATGGATGTGTGGTGTTGGATAAAGGATGTCCACTAAAATATACTGCTCAGTATGAATGAACTGTAGTGATGCTTTTGGAGGTTGGATTACAGAGGATTAAAGCAAGGAGCTGGAATAATGGGTGGCAGGATTGAATCTGAGACTCTTGGGAACAGGCTCAGGAATTCTGAGCGTGGTGTGGAGGTTACAGAGCTGTGAAGGGAAAGGATGAGCAGGGAGCTGAGCAGTTTGGAGGAAAGAAGAAGACAGCAATCTAGGTGTGAATTATCAAAGCAGCCAGGTGGAAGAAGTAAGTCTGAGAGATTCCCAAAGATGCTAAAATATTCCTTTTTGAGCCTTATTTTTGAATGAGAGCATCAAGAACCTTAATTACTCATCCCAGTGATCACTGAGAGCAATTTGCCCTTTTGACAATCCTTTTTCTTCATTTTTGTTATTAAAAGACACAGATGGGTGCCTTTTGAGAGACCCTGGTAGAACTTTGGGATGTGTCTCATGGGCACAGTGCCATTGTCTCCCATCCTGATGTGAACAGGCTCCCAGGTAAAGCTGGAAAAAGGGTTTTCCCAAAATCAGACACTCTGTAAGGACACTCTTCTGCCTTTAAGAAGGATTTTTAGCATTGTTTGCCCTCAATTATAATAGCTCAGTGTCCAGTGCTATGTCATCTTAGGGCAGGTTAATAGATGAACAGAATAGAAAAAATGTGAAATTCCACCCTGTAGCTGCTGGCTCACACCACCAGCTTTTCCTGCTCAGCAGTGGCACAGTGCACAATTTAACCCCAAAAATCCCTTCTCAAAGGTTTCCTTAAGTGGCAAAGGGAAAGATCCTGGACGTTTTCTATTTTTGTCTTGTTGCTGACTGCATAGAAACCAGAGAGAGTCATTTTCAAAGAGCAACTGAACCAAGACTGCCAAATCACTCCACTGGTATCTCCAAGGACTCACTGTATGTAACAATGTGAGTGAGTTTGAACTCATGGCCTCAGGACAAAAAAAAAAAGTCACTCTCTGTCTTCTTAGAACTTTCCTGATTCTGATCTCTTTTCACTTCAGTGACTCCTTTGCCCACTGAACGTTAACTAGCAAAAAAAGGGACTTCTTATTTTTCTTGTTTTTTTTTTTTTTCTGACTTCCTGGTGAGCTTTTAAGTAATAATTTAAACTGTTTTATTTACCTAGTGAGGGAATGAGAGCTGACCAGCTGCCACACTCAGAGCTGAGGTAGGTAGGGAGGGAAGGGTTAGGGAATTAGAGAACGGAACTTGGAGAAGGAATCTAAATTGGGAATCAGCCGGGATTGGGAAGTAGAGACCACAGGGAAGAGTGAGGATTTGTTGTCCAAAGAGAAGTGACAAGAGGGGCAGTCTGGGATGAGCTATTCTGTGGTGCTGGGGTTGTAATAAAAGACCAGAGATCAGATCTTTCTGCATGAAGAGGTTGGGAGTGCAAAAACAGTGAAGAAGCAGCAGAAGACTGGGAGTCTGTCAGCTCACAGCTCTCTCTTTAAATTATCAATACCCTGGAAATACCAACCCAGGTACTGCAGCTCCTGAGTCAACTTTCCCTGAAGGAACCCTAAGCCAGGTGTCTTCTATAACTTGGTGTTTTAAATTTAAAATCTTTGTTTGGGAGGATTCTTACAGAAATAAGTTAAAGCAAAACTGAAATGCATGATATTTTCCTTTATGTATCAGAATGCCTTGTCTGTCTAAAAATGCCTCTTCTAAGCAGCAGTGACAACAAGGAAAAAAATAAAGGAAGATATGGACTGAACACTGTTAGAAAATGCAAAGGGTGATTAAAATTGAGCTTTAGGTCCACAGGAATATCTTAGTATATCTTAGATCCTAGTGCAGCATAGAAAGTCCTCATAGAAAGTCCTTTTCTAAATCAGACAGATGCAAAGAAAGAGTCACAAAATCTCTCTCAGATCGCTGAGTGTTCCTCTAGAAGATGCAACCACAGACGTAGCTCCTCATCCATCTATGCCCCACTGCTGTTTTATTGCCCCTATATACTCAGGGAAAAAAAGAAAAGAGATCTCCAAGCAGCAGATGCAGAAAGAACCTCTTCCCCCTCGAAAAAAGCTGCTCTGAGACTTTGGAGGCTTTGAAAGTGAATTTTAAAAATTCCTTACCTTGGTGGGCAGAACCAGGGGCAGAGGGAGAAACACCAGGGGTACCAGGACGATGATGAGGTATTTCCTGCAGGCCAGCACTGCCTGCCAGGAGAAAGCCATGGTGCTGGAGCTGGCCCAGTGCTGAAGGGCCTGGAATCTGCTCTTGGAGCCTATATAAACACCCGGGAATATTAACCATTGACCTCGGGAGATTGGGTGTTGTTTTTGGAACTGTAATCGGAGAAAGAAGGAAGCGAACAAAGAAGGGAGGAGACAGTAAAAGAGTGTCAGAGCAGGAACCTTCTGAAGGGAATCTTGCAGAAAGGTGATAAATCTGGCGGAGAATTAATTCCTTGCGGAGCAAGTGGGTTTTTGAAAGCATGACCTGCATTTTTAAAAGCATAATATTAATGACTTGCTCTTTCATAATGCCCTCTTTGAATAGGTGCTGTTATTCCTCCTGGTAAAAAAAAAAAAAAAAATAAACTGCTCCCTCCAAAACAGGTTGAAAAATAATTTCAATTTTCAAAGAATATGGGAGAACACTGAAGATGGCACCTGTAATGCTCAAATACATGGATTAGAAACACCAGTGTAAAATGTTATATAAACATAATTGCTTATGATGTTTATGTTTGTTCGCTGAGAAATTCACTTTGGGTAGCAAAACCCATTGGGCAGAGCTGGAGTCACCAGGTGCCCAAACGAAGGGGACTTGTCACACCAAGTCCCCAAACAGAAAGGGACTGACAGTCCCTACCTTAGGTCTTAGTGGACTGGGAAACACTCGGCTACAGGAGATCTCTGTGCAAACACTGGGTTATTTTAATTTTTTTCCCACATTTTTGATCTTGCAGGTTTATAGTCACAGCTTTGGGAACTTGCAGGCTGTATTGGGGATGGGGAAAATTAAGAAGAAAAAGGTGCTACAGGGAAATTAGCAGTGATTCTTGTCCCGGTTGCAGGCAACTTCCAAAATACAGGCTGTGAATCAATAGGTTCTAGACATTAACAGGAATAGTACTAAACTTTTTAAATCCAAAGGGTTAAATTAATAAAAGTAATAATACAATAATAATAAAATAAATAAATTAAGTCCAAAGGGCAATTTCTTATTAATGCCATGTTGATGGCTTTATTAGATCATCCAGGTCCATTATCCAGCTAATGATGATAACATTTCCATTTGATTGCTATAAATCAGCTTGGTAGTGTTTATAGATTACTGGAGAGAGACAAAGGGAAGCACAGCCACCAGGTCATCTGATGTCAGCTCCACAAAAAGCTTCTGCTGTTTCTGCCTCTTCCCCCTTTTCTGTCAGGGCTTGTTTTCTCCCAAGAATGTAGGGAGATTTTCCCATCATTAGAATGTGCTAATGATGGAAAATCAGCTGTCAGATTTGCAAGGTGGACTTGGGCACATTGCTCACAACAAACAGCATCACGTTTCTTGGTGCCCACCCTGAGCTTCAGCATCTCACCCATGGTAAAAAAAGAATGAGAAAGAGCTTTCAATTTAATTCTGTTCCCCCATATCTTGCATCCACTGAATGTTTAATTACTGTCTGACAAGGTGCAGTGACAGCAGCCAACAGCAAGGTCGTTTTTCTGCTTTTTACTCTTATGCCCTAAGGCTGCGATGGAAATCTTAAAGAACATCTCGTTTTTGTATCTCTGCATCACAAATGTTGGCCTCCAGCTGCAGCCTCATTTATGGAGTGTAAATACCAATGTGGAACAGTCTCGGCTGAAGAATTGTGCCTGTCCTTTAAAAGCAGCACCTCCACAGAGATGGTGGCCACTGTCATGTGAGCCACAACACTTTCAAGGACGCTAGAAATTAGTTCTAGAAGTGCTTTACTGCAAAATGAGTGGTTTACATCTTGTCCAAGCTTTTCCTGTGGCCCATGAGCAGCTTGGTGCTGTCAGAGGAGCGAGGCCAATTTACATTATTTTAGTACTGCTCCACTTTATATAAACAGGTTAAATCAATACTCTGAATTGTGTGCTTTGAACTTCAAGGACAACTTGGTCTTTGCTTCCTGATCTGCTCTTTGAGGCAGCCAAACCTCACAGAAAAGCAAACAGCAGAGCCAAAACCTTTATTAACTGAGTTTCTAAGATATTTTGTTCTTTATAAAATGCAGCATTTTCTAGTGCACTGTGAATTAACAGAAGTGATTGTACATTGCTAAATACAGTATTTTGCTGATCCTAGCGCAGTTAAAATGTTGATTTTTGTTTTGCCTGGTTTGTTGAGCCTGCAGAACACTGAGGGGAGCCTTCATGGCATCCTGCAGCTTCCTCATGAGGGTGTTGGAGGGGCAGGGGCTGTTCTGTGCTCTCTGGTGACCAGCGACAGCACCCGAGGGAGCAGCATGAAGGCATGTCAGGGGGTTTAGGCTGGATAATAGGGAAAGGTTGTGCACCCAGAGGCGGAGAGAGCGGAGCCGGTCCCGTTATAGAGCTGAGCCTGAACCGCTCTGAGCGGAGCCGAGCCGGTCCCGTTCCGGACATAGCGGAGCCTGGACCGTTCTGAGTGGAGCCGTGTCAGTGCCGTTCCGTGCAGAGCCGAGCCAGTCCCGTTCCGGGCAGAGCCGTGCCAATCCCGTTCTGAGTGGAGCCGTGTCAGTGCCATCCCAAGAGGAGCAAACCAGTCCCGTCCCGTGCGGAGCCGAGCCAGTCCCGTTCCGGGCGGAGCCGTGTCAGTCCCATCCCAAGCGGAGCAAAGCCAGTCCCGTTCAGGGCGGAGCCTTTCCAGTCCCGTCCCGTGCGGAGCCGTGTCAGTCCGGTTCCGGCGGCGCCGTGTCAGTGCCATCCCGGGCGGAGCCGTGTCAGTGCCATCCCGGGCGGAGCCGTGTCAGTCCCGTTGCGGCGGAGCCTCCGCCCCGCCATGGCCGCCATGGCCGCTCCGCCGCCCGGCGAGCCCCCGGTGCCCCCGGGCCGGCGCCGCCTGTCGCTGCCCGCCGTGGAGCCGCTGCTGTTCCTGGCCACCCTGTCGCTGGGGCTGCAGGGCCCGCTGGCCACCCAGTACCTGTGGGACCGGCTGGGGGCCGAGTACGGCTACAGCAACAGCAACAGCACCGACTCCTCCTCCGGCTGCGGGGACGGCAACGCTACCGCCGACCCCCTGCAGCAGGTGGGGACACGGGGGGACCGGAGAGCCCTGGTGTGGATGAAGAGCTCAGGGGGAGAGCCCTGAGGGGAGGCACGGGATGGATGGGGAGCCGGGGGGAAAGGCGGGTCCGTGGGGTTGGGGAGCCCCGGAGGGAGCGGGGGGCTCAGGGTGAGCAGGAGATCCCAGGGGAGAGGGAATCTCTGGGGGAGCAGGGGAGGAGAGGTGCCCTGGGGAACAGGGAGCCTCAAGGGGAACAGGGAGCCCCAAGGGGAACAGAGAGCTTGAGGGGAGCTGAGTCCCTGGAAGCAGAGTGAGGAGGGAACGTGAAGCCCCAAAGGGAGCAGAGAGCCCTGAGGGGAAGGGGAGTGTGATGGAAGCAGGGAGCGCCGGGAGTGGGGAGCCCGGTGGGTGCTGTCGGATCTCCTCAGCTGCCTGTGTCTCCTGCAGGAGGTGGAAGCTCTGGTGTCCCACTGGAACCTTTACATCAACCTGGGAGGTTTCTTCGTCAGCCTCTTCTCCGTGACCCTCCTCGGCGCGTGGAGTGACAGCGTGGGCCGGCGCCCGGCGCTCATCCTGCCCGCAGCAGGCATGGCCCTGCAGACAGCCATCTACCTGCTGGTCATGTACCTGGAGCTGCACGTCGCCTTCTTCCTCCTGGGACGCATCCTGAGCGGCCTCACGGGCGACTACAACCTGATCCTGGCCGGCTGCTTCTCCTACGTGGCCGACACCAGCGAGCGGCGCGCGCGGACGTTCCGCGTGGCCATCCTCGAGGCCTGCCTGGGCACCGCGGGCATGGTGGCCAGCATTGGCGGCGGCCAGTGGCGCAAGGCCCAGGGCTACATCAACCCCTTCTGGCTGGCCTTTGCTGCCAGCCTTGCTGCCACCCTCTACGCCGCATTCTTCCTGCGGGAGTCGGTGAAGCAGAAGAGGGAGGCCAAGCTGTTCACGCTCAGCCACTACAAGGCTGTGTTCAGGCTGTACACGGCCCCCGAGCAGCCGAGCTGCAGGTGGAAGCTGGCTCTGTACTCCCTGGCTTTCTTTCTGATTGTCACGGTGCATTTTGGAGCCAAGGACATCTATGTGTTGTACGAGCTGGGCTTCCCTCTGTGCTGGGCTTCTGATCTCATCGGGTACGGCTCGGCCGCCAGCTACCTGGCGTACCTGAGCAGCCTGGCGGGGCTGAGGCTGCTGCAGCTCTGCCTTGAGGACACCTGGGTGGCAGAGATAGGCTTGCTTTCCAACATTGCTGGGCTGGTAGTGATGTCTCTTGCTACCACAACGCCACTGATGTTTACAGGTGATGCTGAGGGCTGAAATCCCTGTTTCTGGTAGTGTGCTTCACGGGGAGTTCTGGGCATGTGAGGGAGTTCTGCCTTGTGCACCAGCAAACCTGTTCTGCCTTGTGCACCAACAAAACGGTGCCTTGCTAAGGGCAGTGTTGTCCAAACACTGAATTTGGAAGTGCATCCATGTAGTTCCTAGAACATTAGGCTTCCCAGAACTGCAGACACAGACTGAAGTGCCTTATGAGATCCAAGAGGGGGAATTGTGTTTAAATATAGCAGGGAGACACTGCCAGCAGCTGCAGATTTCTGGGGCTGACTTGGGAGGCTTTATTTTTCAGGTGAGCTTTTCCTAATGTGCTATGTCTTGCTCACAGGTTACGGAATTCTGTTCCTTTCCATGGCAGCCACTCCAGTCATCAGATCTAAGCTCTCCAAGCTGGTCAGTGAGACAGAACAAGGTAAGAAATTAACCACTGTGCTTAGTCCAGATCCTGAAACACTTTTTTCTTGAAATATTGAAATCAGACTCCTGTGCCCCTGCATTCATCCTCAGGCCCAGAGTAATTTTATTTTTTTTTCCCCCCAAATAATTGTTGTTCTTTGATTCAGACTCGCTGCACTTCCAAAATGAGAACAAAGGAAGAAAAGCAGGAGTAGTTAATTCATCCATACATTCATTTCCAAAACTTTTACAGGGAGCAGGAGTTAAAATGGATTATATAACAAGGAGAAAAGAGTCATTTTCCTGACCATAACTTTCCTCTGTAGATCAGTAACAGTGGGGAGAACCAGGTGCTGTTGGAGGGTTGTATCATTGACCGTGGTGAAAGATCATGGATAACCCACAGGAGGAGCATGTTTGCCTTTTGTCCAGTTCTGTGTTTGGAGGGTTTGCACTTGCTGTGAAACACAGCACAGGAATGTCTCTGGAGCAGACAGGGGGAGGAGGGAATCCAGGTGGCAGCAATGGAGAGGTGATTTCGCAATACTCAGGTTTCTTATTTTGGGACAGTGATGGCACGTATGGCAGATTTATGGTGCTAAATCTTGTGCTGTACTTAATGTTTAACAAGTGATAAGAGGTGCCCTGGCCTGGAGCATTTACAATCCAGCTGATATGATGTCCTGGCCATCTCCTGATACAAATCCTGCAGGTTGGTGAGGTGGTCATGGCCACAGGCTGGACGTGCCAGGCCAGTCCTGTCCCACCTTACCACGCTTGATATTCACACACTTTTCTGATGGCAAGTGCAAACCCTTGGAAAGATTGGCAGAATGCACTGAGGGTGATGTGTTACAGCTGTTTACAGGCAATAACCATCTGTCTATCTTATCATTAACCTCTTATCTCTCTTTTCCAGGTGCTCTCTTTGCTTCTGTTGCCTGCGTGGAAGGGATGTGTTCACTTGTGTCTACAGGAGTGTTCAACTCTCTCTACCCTGCCACCTTGCACTTCATGAGGGGATTCCCGTTTCTCTTTGGGGCTATAATCCTCCTTATTCCAGCAGCTATCCTTGGGTAATTTACTTCAAAAGTCCAAAATTTGCCATGCAATGTCATATGGAAAATACTGTGTTATTCTTAGGATAGAAGCTGACAGTTTTTTAAGGCATATTTTAAGTTCTGGTTATGAGAGGGTGTCAAAAAGATGTGTAGGTCATTTTCTTTGGAATCTGAATCCTAGGGATAAACCTGCCAATATTCAAAGTGCTCCAAAGCCTCACTGCAGCCTCAATGGAATCCAAAATCTGGAACTGAATTTGAAAGTTCTTCACGGAAGAGATGGAGCTCTCTCAGCAGTCTCTCTTCCTGTAATTTCTTTAGTAATTGAAGCAGAAGTTTTGTTGTGATAGAAAACAAATCCCCTGGTAGGTTCTGGGAGAGGGAATGTGTTTGGATTTGCAGAAGTGCAGCAGTTCCTGGCAGGGTCATATTATTTTGTTCCTCTGAAACTTTTAAGATTCACTCAATTCAGCAACATCCTCATTTGACTTTGGAAGCTGAAACTGTTCATTCTTTTCTAGGTGGATACAAATCTGGGATTCAAAACACGACTACAACCACTTCCAAGAGGCTTCCCTGACCCCCACAAAAGACTGAATTCAATGCCAAGGAATTGGCCAGCACTGCAGTGGCCACCTGAACACTGCACTTCATTCTTCCCTCAAACGACTGATCAGTGTGGGCGGGACACTCTGCTTGTCCTTATTGACTTTTAAATGCCAAATAATTGGAAATCACAGGAGGAACTTGATTTGGAGCTGTGAATGGCTCCTCAGTGTTGTGTTTGCTCATCTGTCAGAGAAAACCCAAGAGACCCCAGAGCCAATCAAGCTGTTGAGGGCCTTTTGCAAAGCTGCTTTGTGGTTTGGGGTTGGTGGGGCCAGAAGGCTCTGCCCTGCTTTTAGTGGGGAGAGAGGACTGAGTTCTGCTGTAATTGCTGAGCATTTTCCCCTCAGGGTATTCCAGTGTGCAGGGATGAGCTGTTGGTGTGGGTGAGGCACAGGCTGAACCAGAAGCACCCAGCAGTGTCCTGTGCCCCAATTCATCACATTGCCAGTAAAAACCCAACAAATGTGACATGCCAGACCACAAAACTCCTTATGGAGAGGGGTGGTTTAGCACAGGAGTGCTATTGCTGTCCTTACTGACTGAACCAGCTTTAGTTGTGCAAGTCAGAGGTGTCCTAAGAAGAGGATCTAATTCATGAAGTGTTGGTGGGAGTGCCAGTGGTATGTCCTGCCTTGTCTGCAGCTCAGCCCAGGATCTCAGTGGTGGTTTTGAGAAGTAACAGATCATCTGGGAATACTGCAGGGCCAGTAGAATAAATCCTGGGCTAGGAGGGACCCACGAGGATCCTTGGAGCAACTCCTGTATATGCCTTAATTGACATAAAAATTGACATAGCCAAAAGCTGTGAAGTCAAGGAGAAAATAGTCAGAATTGTTCCCCCCTTACACTGCAGATCTGAGCCCCAATCATGTGAAATCCCTGCTGTGCTGATCCAGAGCCCTTCCTCAGCAAGATGGGGACAGGACTAGTGTCTTTAAGATTAATCTTTTTTTGTTGTATGTGGCATAATCTTGTGTTAATGACCTCAGTGCTGCTTGTCCTGGGATCTCTTGATGCCAGCAAGCAAACTCCATGTCCATGGTACTTAAATTGTTCTTTCCAAAGCATTACCTGTGTTGCTGCAATTCTTTTTGTGTCTTCACTGTGCCATAAACCAGCAGTTCTGTGTACACTGCACTGCACATGCTGTTCAGGTACATGCAGTAATGACTTTACTGTTACTTTCAGAATGAATAAAACCTCCATGCTCTTTTATGGTTCATAAAACTCTGGATATCTTGTGCAGCTGTTGGTATCGTTTGTCCTTGACTCATTGGAGGTTTGTCTCCATTATTTTACCTCTCAGTCCTTTATTGAAGACTGCAGTAAAGAAGGAGCAGCAGGAATTTATCTGTCTCGTGGAGAATGAGTGTGTGAAAGTGGAAAGTCAGGGAAAATGCAGGTTTGGGACTTGCCATCAGCCAAAACTTTCTTTTCCTGACCACCAGAGTAACGCTTGCAGGAGAGCTGTGTCTGAAACCTGTCCTTCAGTGTGCAGAAAATGTGAAATGCTTTAACCCAGCTTTGTCCCTGTGCATTGGGAGCTTGTGGTAAAAGCAGAACTGGGGAGCAGAGAAGCAGGGAGGCTTGAAGAACTTGGTGTTTTGCCACTTGCCCCAAGCAGTTCTGCCAGGGCAGGTTGGAGTTACAGGTCAGACTGCTGGGCTCAGCCTGGAATTGGCCTCCCTGGGGAACAGGGCATGCTGTGATCGTTGCAGTAGGTGTTTGTGGCTGAGCTGATTGTGAAGTGAAGCCCTCTCCACCCCCTGGGTGCCAATTCAGCTGCTCAGAGTTGTGCAGGGAGGTGAGACCTGGCTCTGCAGGGGGACACATTCAATGGCAGCAATTATGCCTAATTAAAAAAATTAAACCAGAGTTTTTCTGGGCCACCCTCCGAGAGTTGCAACAGTGGAGCCATGGCTGGTGAGAGCAGGCAGAGTCCCTGGGGGTGCAGGGCATCAGTCCACGCAAAGGTGAGTGGGAAGTGAGGGGTTCCTGCAGGAATCCTGCTTGGGAATGTCAGTTCTGCTTAGTGGTGGCAAGTGTGAAAAGCCTGCAGGGAGAGAAGCACGTGACACAGACAAAGAGGAAGGGATTTAAAGTAAAAACCAGATTTATTAATAATGCCTGATTGATTAACTCCAAACACTTCTGACATGGCAGAGCAAAGGAATGAGGGAGGGTGAGGGCAGAGGAATTCATTTCCTTGGGTCTGCTCCAGCTGGAAGGGGCTGGGTTTGGGATGCTTTGCCAGAAGGAGGGCAAGTTCATTAAGGTGAAGATAGTGATGGGGAAACAGGAGGAGTCACAGTCCAGGCAGCTGGAGCAGGAGATGGGAACTCGTGTCAGGTGAGACACCTGAGCTGTGGAGAATGAGTAAATCTCCCCACTGAGTGCTGGGTGAGGGGGCTGATTGCTACAGAGCTCCTGGGAAACAAGACACAATCACCAGATTATTGCAGGGAGGAAAATCCTTAGAACTGTTTGTGTGGGGCTCCTTCAGTGGCCATGGAGGCCCTGACATTCAGTTTCTGAAGGCTTTTCCCTGAAGCAGCTCACAAGAGGCTTTTATCCTTGGGCAGATTCACCTTTGGGCTCATCTGCTGCCTTCTTGTTATTTATTCTGGAGATTAGAAGGATTCTAATTCTGATGAATGCTGGGCAAATATGACTATTAACCTTTCACTGGAGAGCAAAGATGCCATTAACTGGGAGCTGATAAGAGCTATCCATAAAGCACCAGAATTAACTTTTTTATTTTTTTTTCGGCCCTTGTATGTTCGTGGATCCAAGCCAAAAGAAGAAAGTGTTTGTGTTCCTGACAGTTAAAGCAGAGCTGCAGGGAGAGCCAGGAGGAGGACAAGGAGGCTGAGACTCCTTGTTACTTCCTGAAAGGGTTGAGTTCTTCTTGAGCAAGGGTAGGAAGAGGAGCCTGTTTGTTTTGCAAGGTGATTCAGCAGCCTGGAGTGTGGAACACAGGGATTTGTGTCAGGATGCCCATGGTTCCTCACCAGACACTGATGGTCCTGGAGCATCCTTGGCCAGCCCTTTGAAAAAACTCCACTTTTCCTGGATATTTTAAGGTGAGGAGCTGCAAAAAGCCCAGGTGGGTGTTGAGAAGAGGTTGATAGGAAGAAGCAAGTGCTGCTTGGAATTGCACCCAGCAGCGAGCAGGGACAGCCCCAGGGAGCTCAGGCAGGGCTGTGGGGGTATGGGGGTCAGCAGAGAGATTCACCAGCTCCTGCTGAAGGCACAGACCACAGGAGCAGGATAAAACACAGCTGTGGAGCAGGATAAAATACAGCCACAGTGTGGAATAACTCCACAAGTACAGCAATTAGCATCTTCCCTGCATGGATTTCGAGTTTTCCAGGGTCACAATCCAGCCTCCAGTGCCCTGGAAATACAGACCTGATAAAATGGTGAAGCTGAGACTTCAGATGGGGGGAAGGAGGGTATTTTAAAAGCACTTTTTGCAGGGATCCTGCAGAAGCTTCACGTGGTCTAACCCCAAATTCCCACTGCCAGAGGTAAGAGCACAAAGTGGTTTTGCAGCACTGGGAGGTGGAAGTCCTTTGAGGAGGGAAGGAGCTCTTGTGATAAAGGGACATTGCTGGGAAAGATAAAGCACTTCAGGAGGCCCCTGTGGGTTATCTTTCCCAAACACAAAGATTTTGTTAGGGCTTAATTTTTATTTGCCCTTTCCTGCTCTCAGTTTCTGACCACAAGGATACTCCTGGGGCACACGGCAGAGCCTCACCTTCCTCTCAATTGCTCTTCTCTCCCTTGTGTCCTCTTACAACGGATTCTCAACACTTCTCCAATTTTCAGTCCTCCAAAGATTCTCCCTCTTTGGATGTGTTTCTGGGGGAAGCTGCAGCTGCCTGTGGGGGTCTGGATGGTGCCAGTCACCCTCACACCCCACAGGAGGACGTGGAAGACACACAATCCATCCCAGAGTCCAGCTTTGCTTGGCTCCCCAGGTGCTGGGGGAGTGAGCGCTGGGGCCGTGGGCTTGTATTGAGAGGGAGTAAGAGCCACAGGATTTCTCTCAAAGATGGGAAAAAAGTCAGAAGGGATAAATTTGGACCCCCACACAAAAAAAGGGGTCGCCTGTGAGTCTGTGAGGCTGCTGTGCTGGTTCTAGCTCTGCCCCAGGGAGTGCAGGCAGTCCAGCCCGTTCTCCGAGCCGGCCGAGGAGTCCCGCGAGGAGCGGCCCTGGAGGAAGCGGATGATTTTGTCAATCGTGGCCTCCTGGTACTCGTGGGACCACCTGAATGGAGGGGAAAAATGTGATGTTTACTTTTTCTGCTGTGTGTGGGGTGCCACAAGGTAGCTCAGTTTATTTGGGCCAGCAAGAGGCCCCTTTCCTCCACCCCAGCTCTCCAGGAGCTCCCTTCTCCCCACGGGTGCTGCCAGGTTGCACAAAGGGAAAGCAGGGGAGGAAAGTAACCCAGGTGAGCTGTAAAACCTGCCAGCATCAGTGAGGATGTGTGTCCTCCCAGCAGTGTCCCCTGTGTCACCCAGAGGAGCCCCAGCACAGCAGCAGCAGCAGGGATGTGGTGGGAACCTTTGCTCCCTGCCAGCTCTGGAGCACCTGGAGTGACTCAGTGTGCCTTTGACCTGTTCTGCCACTCTCATCTGTTTGTCCCCATGTCCTTGGGCTCTTTGCTGCTCCTTATGCAAGCTGTTCTCCCCAGGTGTCAATGAGCCCCATGGCACAGGTGGCTTTTACTTACATGATACCATTGAATTTCAGGACAGCCCTCATGTCCTTGGGGAGAGTTTCTGGGTCTGGCCACTCAAAGTGATCTGTAACAGGTACAATGTTCTTCCCAGAGTTCAGGGCTGTCACAATCTCCTGCAGGAACAGAATGCGCAGGTGCTCATGGCCTGTATCAGCCCCTCACCAACTCCCTCCCACCAGAGGTCCCACCTGGTGGCATCTCTTACCTTGTGTACCCAGTCCTTGCACTCGGGGTCCTCCATGCATTTATCCAGCGCGTTTGGTGAGAGCACCAGCACAAAATTCCGGGCACTCAGGACACTCTGGATCAGCTTATCTTCAAACTTCCCTGCCTCCAGCTTCTCCACATCAATGAACACGCTGAAGCCGTGGAGCTGCAGGTGGACCTTCAGCAGGCTGGTGGCAAGAGGGGACAGCACCATGAGGAGAGGTTTCATTTGCTGTCTCACCACGTTGGCTGACACACAGTGAGACAGAGGAGCAGGGAATGAGGTGCCAGCTCCATCCCAGATGTCTGGGCACGTGCAGAGAGCACAAGGAGCTGACATTGATACCCTGCTGTGATCCCCTACAGCCATAGGAGCATGAGGAAAAGGCCACTCAGTGCCAAAGTGGTATTGTAGCAAGGCCAGGGAATAATGTGCATTGACTCCAGTGGTTTCAGAAGGCTGAAGAATTGCTTTATTAAGTTATACTATATTATACTATGTACTATAATATATACTAATACTATAAAATACTAAAGAAAAACCCATGACCCCTTACAGTCATGACACAACTTTGACCTAGTTGGTCAATCAATCAATCAATCAATCAATCAAAACAACCATCACCAGAGTCTAATTAACAAATCCCTTTTGGTAAACAATCTCCATAACACATTCCACATGTGCTAAACAACAGGAGCAGCGAGTAGAGACAAGAATTTTCTTCTTTGTCTGAGCTTTCTTGCAGACTTTCCTAAGAGAAATCCTGGGGAGGTTGTTCCTGCTGCTCTCTGTGAAGAGAGCTGTGGCCACAAAGCGGCGGTGACAGGACTGGGAATTGGCCTGTCCACTGTGCATGTGCCGTCCCCATTTCCTCTGCAGCTTTTGGCAGCCTCTCCCTCCTCCCCATTCCCCGCTTTTCCCACAGCTGACCACCCACCTTCCCTTCCCTCAGGGCTCACCTGGCCAGCTGCGAGCCGGTGCTCCTGCGGTAGCTGATGAACACGTCGGTCCCGTTGGTCGCGGTTTGCAGCGTGATGGGCGAGTGCAGCGTCTCTGGACAGCACAAAACAACCACCAGGAGTTACAAACCAGCAGCTTGTTGAGTTGGGATTTCAGGGTTTACCTTAGAAATCTGGTCCCTCCTCTGAAGATTCCCTCCCAGGTGTGTCAGTCGCCTCTCCTTTCCCCTCCCTGACCCCTCCCAGCACTGTCTGTCATCCTGGAATTCCAGAAGGGCAGTAGGTGATTGGCAGATTCAAAGGATTCCCTCTACCCTCAGGTTTCCCTCTGGTGGAGAAGCTTTAAGGTGATGGTGAAGGAAAGGAGTCAGTTCTGATGGAGGGCTTGGATCCAGAGCTTTATTCTGGTCCACAGGCCTCTGAATCCAGCAGCAGCTCCAACAGAACAACCCGAACCACATGGTTGCTGGGGAGGGAGGCAGGGAAGGGGCAGGGAGCCACCAACCAGGTACAGGAGTGGAGGTCTCAAGGGACAAAGGACACCTGAATGGCCAAATGTCCCCCCAGGGGCAAGAGGCATCTTTTAAATCTGCCCAATAACTCAACACCCTTCCAGAACGCCAAGTTTGGCAGACAATACTCACCAAGGAGCAAGACAAAGAGAGAAAGAAGTGACTGACACACCTAGCAGAGAATCATCACAAGAACAACCAAATTTCTGAAGCAAATCCTAAAATCACAACGCAACTCCAACAGCAGCCCATCCCAAACACCCCTGCACCCGTTCCCTGGCGGGCGGGCGCACCCCTGGCCGCGGTGAGGATGCGGACGCGGTGGAAGCCGGTGTGGATGTGGCAGTCCTCCTGCAGCTGCTGCTCCGTCACGCGGTGCAGGAAGTTGCGGTCGATGCCGCAGGTGAGCAGGTTGTAGGTGTACTGCCGGAACTTGGGCTCGATGCCCCCCAGCCAGTCGGCCAGGTTGCTGCGGTCGCAGGTGGAGTAGTTGGCGAAGGTCTTGAGCTCCGTCAGCTCCCGGAAAAACCTGGTTGGGGGGGACAAGAGGAGCAGCGTAGCCATGATATTTTCTGAAAAATCCTTTCCTTAGGATTTTTTTGTCCTGAGAAGCCGAGAGGGCTCAGGAACAAAATGTAAACAATGGTTATCTGCTGCTGGGGAAACCAACAGGTGCATCTGTGATTGGTCTCATGTGGTTGTTTCTAATTAATGGCCAATCAAAGTCTGTGATGGTGTTCACGGGGGTTTTTGGATGAGGGAAGAGACGAGAACGTTGACTCCATGTTTCAGAAGGCTTGATTTATTATTTTATGATATATATTACATTAAAACGATACTAAAAGAATAGAAGAAAAGGTTTCATCAGAAGGCTAAATAAGCTAAGAATAGAATAGAAAGAATGGTAAAAAAGCTTGTGGCTCGGACTCTCTGTCCGAGCCAGCTGTGCTGTGATTGGCCATTAATTACAAACAAGCACGAGACCAATCACAGATGCACCTGTTGCATTCCACAGCAGCAGATAACCATTGTTTACACTTTGTTCCTGAGGCCTCTCAGCTTCTCAGGAGGAAAAATCCTAAGGAAAGGATTTTTCATAAAACATGTCTGTGACAACAGTCCAGCTGTCCGGATTGTCTCAGTCAGTCACAAGCCTTTCTTGTCATTCTTTTTCCATTCTTAGCTAGCCTTCTGATGAAACCTTTTCTTCTATTCTTTTAGTATAGTTTTAATATAATATGTATCATAAAACAATAAATCAAGCCTTCTGAATAATGGAGTCAACATTCTCATCTCTTCCCTCATCCTAAGACCCCTGCAAACACCGTCACAGGGCAGCACTTAGAGACACGTGGTACCACTATAGGATTTTTTAAGGAATTTAGAATGAGTTAGACACAGGACCTCTGAGTTGTTTTAGGGGATGTGGTTTATTTTTCTTATCTTCTGCATAGGCAGGAAGGGTGAGCTCACCTCACATCTCACCGCACAGTTCAGAAGGTCACAAGACTTGCAGTTGCAAGAATTTTTAAGGATTTATTGACCAATAAAACACTGCTAATAAGGATATTTATGCTTTTAACTTAATCCTTTATCCTTAACTTAATCTATTTTGTCTTATGGACTCATGCAACAATATAAGTTTTCTTAACCAACTATGTTATAACACACAAACCTACAGTACTGCACTCTAAACTTCTTTTTTACCTTTGTAACTACTTTTATTTTTTCTATATCTTAAACTCTGAAACTCTAAACTTTCCTCTTCTTAACTTAACATGTCTCTACTTTAAACTATAAATCCACATTCTTAGTTCTAGCATTTAAGTTTGGAAGCTCATTCCAAGGTCTCAAATCAAATCCTGTGTTTAATTCTAAGCTGTGGCTTACAGGCCCAAAGTTCTGAGAGTTCCCTGCATTTTGGATTCCAACATTTTACCTGTTCAGGAGGGAGAGCAGCTCCACACTGGGGTGAAGGATGAGGAACAGGAAACAGAGGAACAGCTGCATGGGAGTGCTGGTCCTCAGGACAACGGGGTGTGAGCAGCTCAGCTAAGGGTCAGTTCCCATCTTTCTGGGTAACTTGCAGGATCCCACCTGCCCTGTGCCATAGGCGGTCTTTCCCCCACCCACACCTCTGCCATGCAGTGGTGCCATTACAGAAATCTCTCCATGACTGGAAAAGCCCTGGCAGTCCAGGTTTTGCAATTGGAGGATCTCCGTTCCTGTTTTTGCAAGGAGGGAAAGGCAGAGACCTTGTCCCTGCTCTGCCACGGGGTGGTGGCCCTGAGGCAGTCCAGTGTGCCCTGGTGGTGGCCCTACCTTTTCCGAGTGATGCTGGAGTCCATCCCCAAATCCTTCTGCAGCTCCTCCTCTGTCAGCCTCAAGAGAATGTCCCCATCCACCTGGTGATCCTGCCAAGAGAAATCCAGGCTGGAGAGGTCCCAGGAAAAGCTGGGTGAGACGCTTGCACCTCTGCTGCGAGATGGGGCAGAGATGTCCCTCCCCATGCGTCCCTCCCCCAGCACAGAGCCCTACCAGGAATCTCTGGCAGTATTTATTGAATCCAATCTGCTGCAGCCACGTCTGCACCTCGCAGGATTTCCAGTTGGGAACCGTGGGAAGGATGCGCCGAGGAACCTCCTCCCCTATCAGGCGCAGAACCCTTTTGGCCAGGGAGGAGGTGGTGCTGCTGGTGGAGTAGCACACAATCCTCTTCAGGCTCTGCGTGGCCCCAATCTCACTGAAAATCTGGGGACACAAAGGGAGGAGACGTCACTGTGACGGTGTTCACAGGGGTCTCAAGTTGAGGGAAGAGACAAGGATCTGACTCCATGTTTCAGAAGGCTTGATTTATTATTTTATGATATATATTATATTAAAACTATACTAAAAGAATAGAAGAAAGGATTTAATCAGAAGGCTAGCTAAGAATAGAATAAGAAGGAATGACAACAAAGGCTTGTGGCTCGGACTCTCTGTCCAAGCCAGCTGACTGTGATTGGCCATTAATTAGAAACATCCAACATGGGCCAATCACAGATGCACCTGTTGCATTCCACAGCAGCAGATAACCATTGTTTACATTTTGTTCCTGAGGCCTCTCAGCTTCTCAGGAGGAAAAATCCTAAGGAAAGGATTTTTCATGAAAGATGTCTGCGACACGCCACTTTGCCTCCCCTCATCCTCTTCCCTGTTGTTCCAGACGAAGGAAGGAGTGATAAATCTGACTCCATGTTCTTCGAAGGCTAATTTATTATTTTATGATACTATATTATATTAAAGAATACTAAATTAAAACTATACTAAAGAATACAGAAAAGATACTTACAGAAGGCTAAAAGATACTAATGAAGGCTCATTACTTTTTCCAGAGCCTTGGCCCTGATTGGCCAATGAGTGAAAACAATTCACATGAAACCAATGAAACAATCAACTGTTGGATAAATAATCTCCAACCACATTCCAAAGCAGCACAACACAGGAGAAGCAAATGAGATAAATATTGTTTTCCTTTTTCTCTGAGGCTTCTTAGCTTCCCATGAAAAGAATCCTGGGCGAAGGGATTTTTCCCAGAAAATATGACTGCCACACTTCCCAACAAGCTGTGCTGGTCTGGGTAAGGACCAAAAGACACCAAAATGCAGCTGTGCCACCCCCTCCCTTTGTCATCACCCTCCTCCAGGCCAACCTACCCTTTACCTGTGTTTTCTTCTGCCTGGCTTTGATGGCAGCCTCGGTGCACAGGTAGAAGGCGGCGATGCACTGAGCCTCCAGCCTGGAGCTGTCCAGCAGCGGCACCAGGCGCTGCAGGTCCTGCGCTGTCCTCCCCTGGGTGTTGTCACTGCTGCCCAGCATCCGGCAGGCGAACTGCTCGGGGTCCAGCGAGGCGATGAAGGGCTCCACCAGCGCCAGCGTCCCCGAGCGCTCCACCTCCTTCTCGATCTCCTTGTTGGTGGCCAGCACCGTGATGGCCAGGCAGGCGTGCAGCCGGATCAGCTCGTCGTCTTTGGAGAAGGCCAGGGGGAAGAGCCACTCTGCTGCCTTCTTCTCGATCATGAGGCGCTGGTTGGCCTGGCCCCCGTACATGGCACAGTTGGCCAAGGCCATGGCGCAGTGGCGCAGCACGGCGGGGTCCGTCCAGCGGCACCAGTACAGGATGGTGTCCAGGCCTCCGTCGGAGATGAGCTGGAAGCAGGTCTCCTCCGTGTGCTTGAACATGTGCTCCAGGATGCCAGAGAGGCTCTGGGCCAGCTGGGGGATGTCCCTCTCCTTGGCTAAGTTCAGGATCACGCCCAGACCGATGCGAGCAATGCGGTCCCTGTGGGGAGGAGATGGGAAGAAGGGCAGGTGGATGTGCAGGGAGTGATGGCAGTGACTGGTGTGGCCCATGCCTTGGTGACATTTATCCCAGGACAGGCATTTATCCCATTGCCAGATATGCAATGCAGCAAGGTGCATTGTAGGAACCTGTGTGGGTCTGATGGAAGAATTTGTGATGGGGTGCACATCCCACCTACCCTCACTGGATGCTCTCATGCTCAAGGTAGGATCTTCATAACAATTAACAGGCAGGATGGGTTAATGCCAGGCTGGAAATGGATCTGCTGGGCCAGCGTTGCTGTGGTGTGGACCTGTTTTGTGTTTGGGAGTGGAACTTGTTTGTCCCCTAAGCGCTGCTGACAGGACAGGGCTTCCATACCTGGATGAGCAGCCAAGCAGCCCTGTTCACAAGTGGGACACTGGGGTCTGTCTGTCCTGGGATGGCAGCTGAGGAAAGCTCTTTATTTCCTCACCCTGCACTCTTCTGGAAGAGAACAGCAAGAGCCTGGGGTAGCTGACCAAGGGCCATCAGCTGCTGCTTGGCCATGGCTGGTCTTGGGAGGCCTGTGATGCCTGAATGGGGATGTGACTTGAAAATGCAGTGAGGAAGGGGAAAATGAGGGTCATAGAATGATTTGGGTTGGAAAGGATTGGAAAACTCATCCAGGTCCAAGCCCCTGCCATACGCAGGAACACCTTCCACCAGCCCAGGTTGCTCCAAGCCCTGTCCAGCCTGGCCTTGGACACTTCCAGATATGGAGCCGCCACAGCTTCTCTGGGCACCCTGTGCCAGGGCCTGCCCACCCCCTGAGATGAGCTCTTGGCTGTGCTCCCATGAGTGTCCTGGGGTGAGTGGCAGCTCCATTCCTGCCTCAGCAGTGGCCATTTGGTGGCTCTGTGCTGGAGCTGCTCTGTTAGGGAGGCAGCACTGGCCCTGGTGCCCCACGCCCTGCTGCTCAGGAGGGCAGTGCCACGCTCACAGTGGGGTGATGGCACTCCAGCCTCTGTGCTGGCAGGCAGGACGAGCATTTCTGGGAAGCCTGTGACCCACAGGGCTCTCACTGACCTTGGGGTGGGTTTGACAGGAAATGTTGTGGACAGCCCTGGGGGAAAAAAAAAATAAAATAAACCCTCAGCCTGGGTCTGGCTGCGAGCCCGGACTCAGCCATGGAGCTGGATGACAAACACAGGTCCCTGACTCCCTGCAGCTGCAGATGCAGCCAGGACCTGTCCAGCTCCCAGCTCAACACCTCTGCTGCTGAGCATGGGCTGGGAGAGTTCTGCAAGAGAGAGGTTGGACCCAAAGAGGAGCCCCACACCTCCCTGCCATGGCCCAGGAGCTGTGGGAAGCGAGGGGCTGGAATGCCATGGCTGCTCCAAGAGCATGAACTGCTCCTGGAGCAGAAACAACAACTCCAGCAAATGCTTTCTCTTGCTAAGAAGCTGAGTGCTGAATGCAGACCATGCCAGTGATGCTTACTGGGATTAAATTCCACCCTAATGGACTTTCCTGATTTAGCTGCTGCTTATTTTTGCTTGCCAGAGCATGAAGTTAGGCCCAGGCTGTGAGTCCACAGCCTTGCAGCAAGAGACATCCCCCAGGAAACCAGAGCAACCTTTGGCCAGGCTCCCTCCACATCCTTTCCAGAGCCCTGGCTGGGCTGGGTTGGGGTGCTCTGAGGGAGAGCAGAGCTGTCAGAGTGCATTTGGGGTGCTGGAAGGGTGAGCTGTGTGTGGGTGCTGTGATTGGGATGTGTCAGGTGTGCACATGCACCTTTGTACACACACACACACCGTGCCCATGCTCTGACAGAGACATCCCAGCACCTCTCACCTGTCCTGGGCAGCAGCACACACACCTGAACGTGGTCCTGAGGGCTGCTGGCCCCTCCTTATGGCTTCATCCCAGCCCTGGTCAGCAGCAGGGAGGCTCTGGGGAGTGGCTTTGTCCTCCTTGTGCTGCAGTTACGGCTAAAGGAGAGTCACACCTTGTCCTTTGGGTCAGATGCTGTGAGCCAGCCAAACTGACTCAGCTCAACCTGAGGCTGAGGGGGCTCAGGAGGGTCCCCCACTCCTGAACAGCACCCCTGGGCTGGGGCTGGTCCTCCTCCCTCCAGCTGTGGGGACAGGGAGCAGCCCATGGTCATTGCCTGGACACGAGTCAGGGACCCTGTGCACAGCCTGTGGGGGGATGTGGTGGGGATCCAAGGGGGTTTGTGCAACTGGGAGCACCCATATCAGGGAAATCTGGGGGTGTGGGGATGGGTGAAGGTAGGTCAAGGCCAGGGTGGATGGATTTGAAGGAACCTGGTCTGTGCAAGGTGTCCCTGCCCATGGCAGGGGGTTGAGATGAGGGGGTCCCTTTGAACCCAGCCCGTTCTGGGGCTGTGCCCAGCAGGGCGAGGCCGAGGGGCTCCTTGCACACTCACCTGTTCTCCGCCACCAGGATCTGCTCCAGCAGTTTCCCCGCCTGGCACTTGGTCTCCAGCTCGGCGGTGTAGAGCAGGCTGAGCAGCAGGTCCAGGCCGCCCTCGAGGCGGATCACATCGCACAGCACCTTGGCCACGTCCCTGCCCACGGCGGGCATCCCCCAGGCCTCCTCCACCAGCCGGAACACCTCGGAGAGCGCGGCCCGCAGCGCCGGGGCCGTGTCCGCCCTCACGGCGTGGCCGAGGGCCCTGCGGAGCACGGGCAGGACCCGCTCCAGCGCCTCCCGCGCCTCCGTGCCCACCCCGGGCGAGACCCCGCCGCCTCCGCCGCCGGCCCGGCCCGCAGCCCCGGGCACCGCCAGCAGCTCCGCGCTCGCCATGGCCAGCGACCGGCCCAGCGTGTGCAGCGACAGCAGCAGGGCCAGCATCGGCTACCGCGGCATGCCCGGCGCCGGCAGCCCCCGCTGCTGCCGGGACACCGGAGCGGGGCACCGGAGCGGGGATGCGCGGCCCCGCCGCCCCCGCTGCCCCCGCTGCCCGGCCGGGATGCGGAGATGGCAGCGGGGCGGGATCCGCCTTCCCCGAGCCGGGCTCAGCATCCCGGTCCCCGGGGCTGATGTCACCGGGAACAGGCGCCGCCTCTCTCCGAGGAGGGGCTCGGTGCTGGCGGCTGCAGCCCCCTCCTCCCGATGCTGAACCCCCCAAGAGCCCCAGAAGGATTTAACAGAATCGGGGATGTGGCACTTGGGGACGTGGCTCGGTGCTGGGCTCGGCAGTGCGGGGATAACGGCTGGAGTCGCTTTTCCATCCTAAATTAGACGGCTTTTCCATCCTACATTTTATGTTTCTGTATAGTGGTCTCTCAGTGCTTAAATAGAGCTCATTAGTAAAAGGGGAAGTGACTTTTTACATGAATAGATACCGATAGGACAAGGGGGAGCGGTTTTAAAATAGAAGATGAGAGATTTACATTAGATTCTGGGAGAAGATTTTCACTTGTGAAGTGCTTGTTCAGGGAAGCTGTGGACGTCCCAACCCAGAGCCCTCCGGCCACCAGCCCCCGAAGGATTTAACAGAATCGGGGATGTGGCACTTGGGGACGTGGCTCCGTGCTGGGCTTGGCAGTGCCGGGATAACGGCTGGAGTCGGGCTTAGAGGGCTTTTCCATCCTAAATTTTATGTTTCTGTGATTGTGGCCTTTCAGTGCTTAAATAGGGTTCATTAATAAAAGGGGAAGTGACTTTTTACATTAATAGATACCGATAGGACAAGGGGGAGCGGTTTTAAAATAAAAGATGAGAGATTTAGATTAGATATTAGGAGCAAATTTTCACTTGTGAAGTGCTTGTTCAGGGAAGCTGTGGATGTCCCAACCCTGAAAGTGTCCAAGGCCGGGTTAACGGGGCTTGGAGCAACCTGGGGCAGTGGAACGTGACAGGATTTGGAAGTAGACAATTTTCCATTTTCAACCCAAACCGTTCTATTCCACAGCCCTCCCTGCCCAGCCCGAGCTGGGGCTCATCCTGCTGTCCCACATCCCCTTTGTTCCCGAGCTGCTGCTGCGGTGTCACCCCCATGGCAGGCAGGGACCCCCACTCTGGTTTTTCAGGACACCCCTTCAGGACCCTCTGTGAGCAGCGAGGGCACACAGGGGGCAGGCAAAGGCCACCAGGCACCGTGGTGGTCACGGTGAGGCTGTGACCACCCTGGCACGGCGCTCCGAAGCCCCTTGGTACCAGCAGGAAGTAAATCCCCATTGCTCGGTGGAAATTCAGAGCAGCTCTTCTGGGTGGGCTCGGGATTTGCATGATAAAAGAAAGAGCAGAGGCAGCCTGGGCCTCTTTTGTTTTCTTTTTTCCAGGCCAGACGTGCTCAGGGCAGAAATGCTTAAACGCTTTGGGCATTTCTCGGGTGTGCTGGGAGGAGCAGCTTAAATCCTTGACTCCAACACCAGGTTGTTGCCAGGTCAGCCTGAGACTTAAATTCGAGTTGATGTTTGGATGTGACAGAGTCGCTCCTAATCCTCTCTGAATCCACTTCGAAGGGACAGACAGAGGGAAGGGACATCACCCCGCAAGGAAGGACGGCGAACAAGGCACCCTGAGCAGGGCAAAACTGCGGGAGCAGCTCGGCACAGAACCAGTAAGGAATTTCCTAATAAATTATTATTAATCGGGGTAACCATAAGGGCTGTTGCAGTGTAGAGCAGCAGAGGGTTTGCTGCCCGGGGGCAGCAGAATTCAAACCATTCCCTCAGGCTTGTCCTGGCTAGCCCAGAGAGCTGAGCTTTGTTTTGCTTTTAGTTTTGCTTTGCTTTGCTTTTTTTGGGGAGAGATTTCAGACCCAGCAGCCTGAGCTCTGGAACTGCAGCAGTTCCCAGCCTTGCCCTGGGGTTTCAGCCCCATTTCCCGAGTTCTCCTCACTGGCTCTGCTCCCCAGGAGCTCCCCGGGGCCCCTTTATCCACCCAACTCCTCTCCTGGGACCTGCTCCTGGCAGGGAAGGGCTCGCTGAGCCTCTGTGGGGCTGTGGCTGCTGGTTGGGAGCCCGGAGCAGCAGAAGGGAGCTTTGTCTTAGCTGATCAGCCAAAGCAGCTCAGACAGTGCCCAGCCCTTCTCCCCCAGAGCCTCCTGCAAGCCTGAGCCCTGGCAGGGCTGCTCTCCTGTTCAACAGGGATGGGATGAACCCCTTGGGGACAATGCCAGCCCTGCCACAGCTGAGGCCAGGGGACAAGGAGTGGGATGAGGGCTGCAGGAGAAGTTCTGCCCCAAAAGCCAATGTCTGGTAGCTGCCCTCAGCTCCCCAGGGCTTCCAGGTGGAAATGCCTCTCAAAACCAAATAAAGCTCTTTCCAGCAAGATGCCAGGGGCAGACGATGCCAGGAGCTGCCTGTGTCTGAGTTGGCAGAGGAAAGACCCTGGAGAATTGGCAGCCTGCTCGGGTTTCTCTCCCCCTAAAAGCTGCACCAGGGGCTGGGACAGATCCCTTGGAGCTCCTGTCCCAGCAGAGGCAGAAGAGACAGGATTGCTGCAGCCTCGTGTGCGTTTGCTCCTTGCCCCGATTAAATAAACACCCCAGAGTTATCAGGAGCTGCCAAAAGAGCTGAGTCGACATTAATTAGTAACTGAGAGATTGGTTGGAGAGGGGATGACGGGAGCAAAATACACAGGCCTTTGTTTGCCTTCTGCAGTGAAAGTGCTGAGGGCTCCTGGCCCCGGCCGCTCACCTCTGGCCTCTGGTCCCCAGGCATGGAGGTGGCATCTGCCCCATCCTAAGCCACCCTGCCTTGGGGCTGCTCAGGTCTGTTCCCATCCTTGACATTGAGAAAGCTGAAATCCCATGAAAATGGTGATATTTTGGGCAAGTATAAGCACGGGGTTCTTCCCTTTGTCTTCTGAGCATTGCTCCCCCATCCCATCTCATTTGGGGTTTTGGCTTTGCCAAGACCAGGCTGGGAAACAGCTGGCTGCTCTTAGACCATGAGGTATGTTGTGAAATGAGTGTGGCAAGACCTCAAAAGTGGTTCCTGACTCTCTGCTGTCCCTGCCCACTCTCTGAGCAGTGCCCACCCTGCACCAGGCTGGGGAGGAGCTGCTTACACCCCCTGTGCCCCTGCAGCCACCCCCAGCTCAGCGTGGGCTGCGGGGGAAGCTGGGTGGGAGATCATCTCTGCCCCTTTCCCCCCGTGCCGACCTTGGGCTGTTTGCTTTCCCCTCCGGGGCAGGCTGAGCAAACACAGGACGCTGCTGGGGCTCTGCCGTGCTCCAGCTCGCACAGACACAGGAGGGACACCCAGGATGAGGCTGCTCTTCCCTGCCCTCGTGCTGGCCCTGCTGGCCACCACCCGTGCTGCAGAAGGTGAGCTTTAGCCAGCCAAACCCTTGCCAGGTGCTTTGGGGATGGAGAAAGAGAGGTTTGTGGGCTGGTGGAGGGGCTGGGCAGGGTGGGCAGGGAGCAGATGGTGGCCATGGCCATGCTGGCTGTACCCTGCAGGATGGGGAGAAACAAGTGGGCAGCACATGGGTGTCAATGGTGGCGTGGCAAATCCCTGCCCAGGCACAGCTGGGCTGCCAGCATGGAACTGGGAGCATGGCACAGCCCACTCCATGGCTCCCATTCCAGCAGGACCTGATGGGAGCAGGGAACACCCCAATCCATGGCTCCCATCCCTTCAGGACCTGAGTGGGAGCAGGGAACACCCCAATCCATGGCTCCCATCCCTTCAGGACCTGAGTGGGAGCAGGGAACACCCCAGTCCATGGCTCCCGTCCCCTCAGGACCTGATGGGAGCAGGGCAAGGAGCTGCTGTCACCCCTGGTGATGGATTTGACCATGAAGGAGTGGGGTACCCCCAACCAGGACATCCCCAAGTTTGTTTTCCCCCAGAGGGGAGGCATGAGCCCCACTGCCCCACCCCACATCACCCCTCCTGAGCTATGGATGGCTTTTGCAGACTCCTGTGAGGGCCGCTGTGAAGAAGGCTTCGATGCAGGGCACAAGTGCCAGTGTGACACCCTCTGTGTGTACTACCAGAGCTGCTGCAGTGACTACTCCACCGTCTGCAAAGCCAAAGGTACTGTCCCCGTGGCCAGGGCAAGGGGGAATGGGTGCTCCACACGTGGGGTCTGTGCTGGGTCAGCTCTGCACCCACCTGTGGCTGAGGGCTGAAGTCAGCACCAGGATTTGCTGCAGCACAGGGGGGTTTGGGAGCTGGCTCGTTGCCATCTGGAGTGAGGGATCTGTGCTAATTGGATAGATTGGTTAGTAGGAAAAATGTCTTCTCTGAAAGGGCATTCAGGCATTGGAGTAGGCTGCCCAGGTGGAATCACCATCTGTGGAAATGTTCTAAAAAACGTGTACTTGTGGCACTTGGGGACATGGTTGGCAGTGCTGGGTTGAATTGGACTTGATGATCTCAGAGGGCTTTTCCAACCTTAATGACTCCATGATTCTATAAATCCCTATTGCCTGGGAGGGAGCATCTCCTGCTCCCAAACCCCAGAGGAATCATCCTGCTCCCTCCTGCAGTGACCCGAGGAGACGTCTTTGCCTTGCCCGAGGACGACTACCTGGACTACAACCTCACTGTGGACTTTGTCACCGAGGAGGCGCCCGTGGCTGACCCCACAGAGCTGCCCACAGCCCCAGCGCCGGTGGAGACCACGCCAGAGAGCCAGCCAAACCCCGAGGAGACACTGCCAGAGGTGCCCAACACCACCCCAGGTGTGTCTGAGGAGCCTGAGGAGCTGTGCAGCGGGAAACCTTTTGATGCCTTCACCGACCTGAAGAACGGTTCCCTTTACGCTTTCCGAGGTACTTTGGGGACCTTGCCCAGGCACGTGGGACGTGCTGCCATGCTGCCACCCTGTGCTGGTGTCTGCAGTCCCTCCTGCTGCCCCTGCCTCTCCTCTCTCCCCAGGGAAGTACTTCTATGAGCTGGACAAGACCAGTGTGAGGCCTGGCTATCCCAAGCTCATCAGTGACGTGTGGGGCATCGAGGGCCCCATCGATGCAGCCTTCACACGCATCAACTGCCAGGGCAAGACTTACCTCTTCAAGGTGGGCTGCAGGGCTGGGGGTACTCCCAGGGTGGCCAGCACAACCCCCAACCCACCCTAAATCCCCTTTTGGCACCTCCCATACACCCCTGCATGCGGTAGTTGCCAGAAACCCCAAATCCCTGTGGTTGTTCTGCTACCCCAAGCAACCACAGCCCCGTGATGGGGCTCCCCATCATCCCCTCACTCCTCCTGGCTGGGGGATGTTGCACCTGTGACCCCTCTCTGTCTCCCACCCTCCAGGGCACCCAGTACTGGCGCTTTGATGACGGAGCCCTGGACTCTGGGTACCCCCGGGACATCTCCGAGGGCTTTGAGGGCATCCCCGACAACGTGGACGCAGCGTTCGCCCTGCCTGCCCACAGCTACCACGGCAATGAGAGAGTCTACTTCTTCAAGGGTAAGGGGGCAGAGCCTGGCACCACTGGGCACAGGCTGGGCACCCCTGCACTGCTTGTCCCCCCACCAACACCCTGCTCATCCTCTCCTAGACAAGTACTACTGGTCCTACGACTTCGCCCAGCAGCCCACACAGGCCGACTGCGAGAAGTCCTCGCCCTCCACAGTGTTCAAGCACTATGCCTTCATGAACAGGGACAGCTGGGAGGATGTTTTCCAGATCCTCTTTGGCAGCAGGATGCGTAAGGGCTGGGAAGGGTTGGTGGGTCCCAACAGTGGGCACTGACAGGGCACAAGGGATGCAGACAGCCAGGGAATGATGGAGTGATGCCTGGAAGCAAAGGTGGGCAGGATGAGCCATCACCTCCTGCCCAGGCCATGCACAGGAACCCCCCAGGCCACAGCTGCACCTCCCACAGCATCCCAAATCCCACCCTCACAGCCCTTATGCCCCCCATGACCAAACCCATCACCACTGCCTCACACCACGGCGTCACTGCTGGGGACTGTTTATTGTCACTGGAGCTGGAGATGCCACAGCAAAACCCCAGCCCTGAGCAGAGAGAATGAAAGAGAGGAGGAGAAGGGGGCTCAGCAGATCCAAGCCAAGGGGGTGGGGGGCCACTCCTGGCTCAGCCTGTGTCACTGTCACACATCCCATCCAGGCTGGGATCCCTTGGAGCACTCCCGTGGGTCTCGGGCACGCTGCTGCCCCCTCACTCAGCCTCTGCTCCTTTTGCAGCCGGGACAAACGGGCCGTGGTACATCAGCCGGGACTGGCGGGGCGTGCCCAGCCGCCTGGACGCTGCCATGGCCGGCAGGATCTACGTGGCCTCCCAGCAGCCCCGCAGGAGGAAATCCCGCCGCCAGCGCAAGAGGTACAACCACCACCGCTCACTGAACCTGGGATTCTGGAGCTGGCTGCAAAACGACCCCGACTCATCAGGTGTTGAAAGCGATGGGCTGTCGGGCTCCACGTGTGAGATGCTGCAGAGTGTTTACTTCTTTGTGGGAGGTGAGTCTGGTCCGGCAGGATCCAGAATGATGCGGGATCAGGGGTGCTGGGGTAGGCTCCTCTCTCTCTGCAATGGCTCTGGGATGCAATGGGAAGGTGCTGGCAGTGAGGGCTGGCAGCTCCCCAGAGCTGGGGACAGTCCTGACTGCCCTGTCCCCTTCCCCAGACAAGTACTACCGTGTGAACCTGCGCACCAAGCGTGTGGACCTGGTGCGGCCGCGCTACCCCCGCTCCATCGCCCAGTACTGGCTGGACTGCCCCCAGCCCACGGAGGAGAGCACCTGATGGGATCCCTGGAGCCACCAGCAGCACAGCCCCAGCTAGACAGAAATAAACTGCGAGGGCCATGCAGGCTGCAGAGCTCTGTCCGTCCATCCATCCAACCGTCTGTGCCGTGGTTTGTGCAGTCCTTGCAGTCCAAGGTGCCGTGTCCCCGAAGGCTGTGGTTGTCCCCCCAGTCTGTGGCAGATCCCTGATGCTGGCCCCATCCATGGTGGGCCTGTGGCAGCTCAGATCTGCTCTGCCAGCCAGGCCAGTGCCTCTTCCCACTGGAGGAGAGGGACGGTGCCAGCAGCTGCCAGCGGGGAGGAGCAGGGTCAGGTCTCCATCTCCCCAGGATCAGTGCACTGCCCCACGTGTGAGAGGCTGAGCAGGGATGGGTGCCCATCCAAGGCCCTCACAGCCCCACGTGTGAGAGGCTGAGCAGGGATGGGTGCCCATCCAAGGCCCTGCTGCTCTCCTAGCACTGCCCTGCTCACCTCTGGGCTCTGGCAGCCCTGGCCATGGTGGTGCTGAAGGGATGACCCTTCCCTCGGGGCTGGGGACGCGCTCAGGGCCGGGCAGCTCTCGCTGCAGTGGGTGCTGCTGAGACAAACTCCTGCTCCTGCCACGGCTCCTGCCATGAGGACACATGAATAAACCATCACCTCCAAAACTCCAGGGAACTCCTGAGCTGCAGCCGATGCCCAAGGAGTGGCTCTCACCGCTGCCTCTGATGCGGCTGGGGGTGATGTGGGCCAGGCAGAGCCGTGTCCTCCTGCCCAGCACTTCCCTCAGGGGGCACTGGCTGTGGCACAGCGGGCGCTGGCAGCACCTGGGCGTGAGCAGAGCCGTCAAAGTGGTTGTGCCACCCCTGTGCCACCCTTCCAAAGGGACCCCTGGGGCTGTACCTGGAACATGGTGGCATCAGCTGGCCCAGGGCAGCACTGTGGGCAGCTGGGGTGGCTGGAGGCAGGAGGGAGCTTCTGCAAGAGAGGACAGCAGCGTATGTGTGGTGTGTGCATGGCTGGGTGGTTGTGCATGTGTGGGTGGTTGTGCCCGGGTGGGTGGTGTGTGCCTGCTGTCCCTGCCGTGGTTGCAGGCTGCAGAGCCCTCCCTGCCTCTCACCGGCAGCCGCGGCACGGAGCTGGGTGTGGTTTCGGGCCGCCGCTGCCTGGCCGGGAGCCTCTGGGGGACGTGCAGGCTGCGGGCACTCCGGAGCAGGGGCTGGCTGTCACAGGAGCTGCGGGTGCTTCTGTGGGATGGGCCAGCTGGGATGTCACCGCTGAGGTGTGGGGACAGATGGGGATGCCTGGGGAGCAGTGAGGAAGGCCAGCAGGGCATTGGCAGCCTCCAGAGAGCCCTGCCTCATGGAGTCACTGAGAGAGGCTGGTTGGTGCAGGGTGCTGCCCAGCCAGGGGCTCTGGCTGCCCTGGCAGCCCCTGGATCCCCTATCCAGGGGTCCCACACAAGCCTCCCATACCTCATCTGCTCGTTCTCCACCACGAAGTCCCGCAGGAGGCCGTAGAGGCTGGGCCAGGCCGGGGTTCCCTCTGGTGGGAGCTGCCCTGCAGGGCCGTGCCTGTCCCCAGAGCCTGCCCATGCCTTTGCAGGGTTCCCTGCCACCTCCGTGCCCCTCACTGGCACTCTGGGCAGGCTCAGCTGCTGGCGCAGGGAGAGGTTTTCCAGCTGCAGGGCGTGGATCTCTCGCTCCAAGGTTTGCAGCAGCTTCTCCCGGGACACCTGGGAGGGTGGGTGGATAAAGGGGGGCTCAGGGGGGTCCCAGCAGTGGGGAGAGGAGCTCAGAGGGGGTCTCTGTCTGCAATACCCTGTTGGCCAGGGGTCTGGTGGTGACCCTGCGGGCACGGCTGGCGTAGTGGAGAGTGCTCAGGGTCTCTGAGAGGCAGCGTGAGGACGGGGAGATGCAGGCGACCTGCCAACGAGGAAGACATGCAGGTGGGCTGTCATCCAGAGGGTCACCACCATTTTCCATGGGGTGAGACCCCTGCCCAGCCTCCTGCGTGTTTTACCATCAGGGTGATGCCCGAGCCGCCCAGGGAGCGAGCCAGCAGCCGGGTGAGCTTGCTGTCCCGGTAGGGGATGTGCGTTCGCTTCCCTCGGGGTTTGGCCAGCAGGGAGATGCAGTGTCCTGCCGGAGGATGAGCCACACAGGATGTGACAGGGCTCTGGTGGGGGCGCTCCCAGGGCGGGTTCCCCAGCCCTTACCCAGCGCCAGGAGGCTGCGGTTGATGCTGTTGGCCTCCACGGAGAGCTCCCCGCTGGAGCCAGTCTCCTTCACCCGCTCGCTGCCAGCCAGGTCCACGAAGCACAGCGTGCCCTGCTTGCTGGGGCAGGCGCTGGCCTGGGGAATCACGTTGTGGGGTGATGCTTTAACCCCCATCATCCCTTCCCCACAGCACTGTCCCGACTCCTGGATCTTGGATAGAATTCCCGGCTGCTCACTCCAGCCCCACCCAGGTATCCTTGAGGAGAGCCTGACCCCCCCACCGTGGGGCTGTTTGCACCCCCGCGCTGCGCCCTGAGCCCCCCAGCCCTGCCCAGGAGCGGGATGTGCGCTCACGGCTCGGCTGCGGACGTGGATGGTCAGCAGGGCGTGGCTGCGGCTCGAGTGCCTGTTGAGGGCATGTGCCGATGTCCGGCGCCTCTGGGATCCTGCCGAGAGAGGAATTGATTGCATGGCACCCCGCATCCCTGCCCCAACCCCACAGCGCTGCATCCCCTGCCCGACCAGAGCTGCCTTGACCGCTCCTCTTGGCTGCCATCAGAGCGCCACCAGCTCCGGAACAGTCTGCGAGGGGCTGAATCCCCCACACCGGGTCTAGCAGGCCCTGAACACGTCCAGCCCCGTGTGTGTGGCTCAGCACCTTGCAGGAGCAGGCTGACGATGGCCTCCAGGCTCTCGAATTCCACACTGAGCTGGTTCTCCACGTAGAAGCCGCGGGATTTGCTCCAGCGCAGGGGCAGAGCGCACGGGGGTCCCGGGCTCAGCAAGTCCCGGACCTGGGATGTGGCAGGGGGAAGGCACCGGGAGAGCACAGGGGAAGACACCGGGAGAGGGGTAAGGCACCGGGAGAGCGGGCATAGGGTGCCAGCAGGGCCGGAGGAGGCGGCTGGGCAGGAACTTACCTGTTCGTTGTAGATCTCCAGGTAGGAAGCGCTGAGAGCCAGGTCAGAGGCACGGCTCCGGCTCTGCTCCAGGAGGCAGGTGAAGGATCTCTGCATCAGCCCCAGCAGGGCCGGGGACGCCGGCTGGGTGTCGCTCTGCAGAGATGCCAGGGTGGTGAGCGGGCACATCGGGCACCCGCCTGCTCCCACAGCCCATAACCGGGTGGGCAGAGCTCATCCCAGGATCAGAGCTCATCCCACGGCCAGGATGGGGTCAGATGGTCAGCGTTCTACCTGGCCGAGGGGTCCCATCAGGGTGTAGGTCTTTCCCGAGCCGGTCTGCCCGAAGGCAAAGACGGTGCAGGAGAATCTGTGGGAGATGCTGAGCGTCAGGCACGGCCGCGGGCGGTGGCACAGCGATGCCACCTCCCGACACAGCCCGGGCAGTGCAAACGCGCCGGAAAGGCCCGGAATGGGCTGGCTGCAGGGTTTGGGGTCCGCGGGGGGCTCTGCGGGACTCACCCGTCCATGGCCAGCTCCACCAGCTGCCTCATCCCGCTGCCCTCGAACACGGCCTCCTGCGAGGCGCCGGCGTCGAACACGGCGCTGAAGCCGAACGTGGCATCGTGCCTGGCCGCGCTCACCTGGCCGTGGGGACAGCGGCGGCTCAGGGGTGCCACAGCCCTCCCAAACCCACAGTCCCAGGGGAGGTGGCACTCACGTGCACGGCGCCGTCACCGAGGCTGTGCACAACGTGCTGGTCACCTCGCCGCGTCTCCGTGCAGGTCAGCGGCCGGACCCTGAGGGTAGGGTGTGGATGGGGACACAGAGGTGTCGCTGCACAGGGACCCTGCGGAGCCCTGCTGTGACCGCGCCCCAGGCAGGGAAGTACCTGCCGCGTCCCTGAGCCCTTTCCTGTCCCCTTACCTTAGCACCACTCTCAGACGCGTCTCTCTGCCCTCCACGGGCCCTCCCCGCTCCTCTCCAGGGCTCCTTTGGGGAACAGAGGGCAGCAGGGTGGTGGGTGCCCTCCAGCTGGGGGGTTCTGCCCGCGGGCACCCCGGGGGCTGAGGCAGAGGGACTCCCGATCGTGCCGTGCTCGCACCGTCCTCCCACCTCCACTCTGCCCTGAGGCCTGGCCGGGGACAGAGCTCGGTGTCCCCGCCATGTCGCCGCAGAAGGACGGTCCTGTCCCCCCCCAGCCCTTTTGGGATGCCACCCCCGCTGCCTGTATCAGCCACTGCCCAAGTCCTGCTGCTCCAGGACGGGATGGCCTCTGTCGCCTCTGTCTCCTCCGTCTCCCCCACAACTTACGGTCTGTCCTGGCCCCGTGGGAGCGTTCTGGGCCGGGGGTCCTGCTGGGGGTCCCCGCCCCGCTCCCCCTCTGGTTTCATGCGGTCCCCAGTACCCGGTGCTCGAGGTGCCCGCAGCGCCCGGCCGGTCCCTGTGGGAACCACCTCCAGCCGGCCGCGGCTGCCCCGCACAACCGGTACCACCGCTCCGGTTAAACATTGACCGTGCCAGCCCTGCGGGAGAGCGGCGGTCGCACGGCGGGGGGCGAGCGGGGGAGGCAGCGCAAGGGGCGGGTGGCAGGTGGGTCTCCGAGCCCTGCGATCCTCACGGGCCCCACCGTGCCGCGACGGCGGCGCGGGGAGAGCTGTGCGAGCAGCTGGTGTGGGTACCGGTCCCCGGGGATGCTGGGGAGCCAGTCGGGGCTGTCGGGGCTCTGCCATCGGGGGCGCGGAGCTGGGATCGGCCCCGGGAGCCCTTGGGAAGGGCTGGGGGGGGGACAGCACCGCCCGCTCGGGGCGGTCCCAGCCCGCCGGGGGGGACCCGGGGGGGGATAAAAGCCGGGGCGGCGGCGGGCCCGGGGGAGCCGGGCAGGATGAGCGCGGCCCCGGGCACCTCCCGCGCTCCCCAGCCGCTGCTCCGCTTCCCCGACGGGGCGGGCGGGCCGGGCGGCGGGCGGGCAGCGGGCGGGGGCGGCGCCCCGGGGCCGTGCCCCTGTCCCTGTCCCTGTCCGGGGGGGCCGCGGAAGCGGCGGCGGACCACGTTCAGCCGGGGGCAGCTGTCGGAGCTGGAGCGCGCCTTCGCCGCCGTGCCCTACCCGGACATCGCCACCCGGGAGCGCCTGGCCGAGCTCACCCAGCTGCCCGAGGCCAAGATCCAGGTGAGAGCAGGCGGGAGCCTCCCCTCCATCCTTTCCTCCTTCCTCCCCGGGGCACCCTCTCCTCCGCGGGGCCGCCCTGTCGGGGCGCTGTCGGTGTCTCACAGCTCCCCTCGCCCGTCCCAGGTGTGGTTCCAGAACCGCCGCGCCCGCAGGATCCGTAGCGCCAAGCCGGAGCCGCCGCCGCTACCGCCGCTGCCGCCGCCCGGGGAGCGGGGTCCCCCCGCGGCACCTCCCGACGGCAGCATCCCGTGCCCGGCCCCTGCCCTGCCGCCGCCGGGATCCCACAGCCCCGCGCGGGGCCTCCCCACCTCGCTGGGCTCCATCTCCGACCTCATCTACAGCGCGGCCATCACCAACCTGGGCGAGCCATAGCCGTGGCAAGGACCCCTGGCTCCTGGGGACCCTCCTGGCACCGCGACCCCCCCGGATTAGCGCCACGATTTCATTAGGGTGTGGAATTACTGCCGGTCCCAAAGGCTCCGAGGATGTCATCCAATATCCTAAATGCCGGTGCCGCCACAGCAGGGACAGCTCCCCATCAGCTCCCTAATACTGACTAATCTTTTGGAAAAAATACCTTAATCTGAGGCCGTGTCCAGGGATGATTGTGGCGCGGCCGCCCCTAATCCGCAGGCACGTTCGCAGGTGCCGGCAGATCTCCCTGGATCAGATATTAAACCGTGTTTCCAAGGGGGCTTAGCTGCCATCAGAGCATTAATCACTGTGTCTGGCCCTGGCAGAGAGCCCACCCGGCAGGTGTCCGGGTCTCCAGGGCCTGCTGTGGGTGTCCCCTCCCCGCTGTGGGTGCACTGAGCTGGCTCTGCTCTCTGTCCCACAGCACCTGAGAAACCTCTGGGCTCAGTGTTGAGGGGTGCTCCATCCCTACCTCCAGAATCTGGGCAGCATGGTTTGGGAGCACCGTGCATCTCTCACTAGGCAGGCACAGGAAGGTTTGGACAGGAGATGCAGGGGGAGAGGGAAGATTCACATCTCTGTGGTGTCTTAGATGCCACATCAATGTTTCTCCCACCAACAGATACCTCCCAACACGCAGGAACACACAGTGTTATTTATTCCCAGAATAAAAGGACAGGAATTTCCCAGAACAGGGATGGCAGGAGCTCATGCCCCTCTCCCTGCTGGGGTGGTCGGAGTCCACAGCCATTCCCTCTCCTGTTCTGCAGCTCTGGGATTTCCAACCCAAGATTCATTTCAGGAGCGAGAAGCAAAGGACGAGCCTGAGGAGTGCAGAAGTCTTCCCTCAGCAGGAACAGGCACAGACAGGACAAGATCTGTCCCAAATTAGCAGCTCCTGAAGAGGACAAAATCCTCCAGCATGAAGCCTGCAGTCCATGGTCACAGTTTCCCAAGGTCCCCTTCGAGGGTCCGCACCATCACGTACAGCTCGGCCAGGCCCACCACTGAGGCCACAATGACAGCTGACAGGACACGCTGGGGACACAGAAGAGGCAGAGAGGTGACCCTGGGTGTCCAGCCTGGCCAGCAGACAGCACAGAGGGGCTCCAGGGGCTGGTTTGCTCACCGCTGCTGTCTCTGCAAACACGTACTGGCTGCCCAGGTAGGTGCAGGCAAAGGCGGCCACCACGGTGACAATGAAGTTGAAGATGGTGATGACAACGGCTTTCACGGAGCGAACTGGGGACACAGGGGTGGAGGAGCTGGTTTAGGTAAGGCTGGACACAAGGTGTAATCATGCACAGCTGTCTCAGCTGTAGATGTAATCCTGGGGGAGTCACACTCTTGGTGCCTCCAGAAATATTGGTGAGAATGACCAAGAGGCTCCTTTATTCAAGGAACACTTCAGTGCATGGAAACCTCCTGGTGAGATATTCCGAGAGGGAAGGGCTGTCACCAGCTGGAGATGGAACAGTTCCCATGCCTGGCCTGCCACATGCCAACAGGACAGGGAGCCACTCACCTTGCCTCCCAAATTCAGCCAATGGCCCGTTCATCTCCTGAAAGAAGGGATTGAAACAGCTTGTGATCACTTGTATTTTCATGTCAATATGTTAATGTTATTACTGTGTGTGCAGAATAAAAGCAATGCCAATGCCCTGTCTTGTCCACAGGACTCTGAGCTTTTGGGTGGGTGGGCTGTGGGGGAGCAGCAGTTTCACGGCACACAGGTTTCTCTGGGATTTTGCACAAGCTCTGCTAAAACCACCCTGGATTATAGATCACACATGGCTTGGCTTGGAAGGGGACCTTAAAGACCATCTTCTTCTAGCCCCTGCCATGAGCAGGGACACCTTTCACTACACCAGGTCAAACCTGGAGGGGTCCAGCTTGGCAGAGAGCAAAGCAGATCTTCCCATGAGAGTTAATGTGTACCTGGATGCCAGATACAGTGTGGAAGGGCAGAATGGGATCCCAAGGAATGCCAGCAAGAAGGGATGCTGACTAGTCTGAACAGCCACCCTGCCAGAAGATCTCAGCTCTCTCAGGAAAGAATGAGTGCCCACATATGACTTTGTATTTTCAGCTTTTACCTTGACATGAATGAGGCAATTTTAAAACTATGACAAAAATTTAACCAGCAGAGATGCTCCCACTCAAACATTTACAGCATGTGCTCAGTCTCCCAGAACAGAACCTGAGATCTCTGGCACAGTGAGCAGTTCCCAAAAGTCAGTACGTCTAATTCACCACCCTGTTAACCCTGTCCTACCTCTGTCCTCAACACTTCTGTTGTTCCCGGTGTGTTTACAGTGTGTTTTCCTCCAGTGCCTGCCACATCCCCTCTGCACCGCACCCACTCTAAGGGGGAAATCTCCTTTGCTCTCAGGTGTTTGAGGGATGAATCCCGGCACTGCATCAGCCCCTCACCTGGCCGGTGATGTTGCGGGTCATCCGCTGGTACTCCTCGTGTGCCAGCTTGGCCTTGATCCGCTCCAGCCGTGCCACCAGCTCGGGGTTCTGGGGAAGGCACAGACCCACCGTGAGGCCCGGCAGCCGCCGCCTCCTCCCGCGGCTCCGGGCCGGCCCTCACTCACCCGCGGCGGCACCGGCACTTCGGGCAGGTGGATCTCGCATCCCTCCAGCAGCTCGTGTAGGTGCAGCGGAGACCCTGTGGGCGGGGCACGGTGCGGTCACGGCCGCGGTCACAGCGCGATCCCGGCCGCGGTCACGGCGCGATCCCGGCGCAGCGCGGCCTACCTGCCTCCCTCAGCGCGGGGTGCAGCCTCCGCAGCAGCCCGAACGGCACCAGCGCTCCTTCCTCCGCCAGCGCCGCCTCCAGCTCATCCCTCAGCGCGGCGGGCAGCGCCTCCAACTCTCCGTCCCGCACCGCCCGCCGCAACCGCGGCCCGGCCCGCACCGAGGACGCCATGTTGGGCCCGGCCGGCGTTGCCGGGGCGACCGGGAGGGGCGGCGAGGGGAACCATAGAGACGGCGGGGCGGGGCGGCGCGGGCGCGGGCGGGCGGGGCGGGCGGCGCGGGGCACTGTGGGCCGCGGGCGGTGGGATGTCGGGCGGCGCGGCGCGGCGGTACGTGGCGGCGGCGCTGTGCCGGGCCCGGGCCCGCGGGCCGCCCCCGCTCTGGGAGCCGCCCCCCGCCCGCCACCTGCGCGCTCTGGGCACCGGGGGGGCGGTGGCGGCGCTGCCGCCGTTGCTGCTGCCGCCGAGGCGGCACCTCTCGTCGCGGTGAGGCCTGTGAGGGGTTCTGTGTGGGCAGGGGGGTGAGGGGGTGATTGAGGGTGAGGGGAGTTGGGGTCTGTTGAGTCGCTGGGGGAAACCTGAAAGAGCTGGAGGCTGTCAGGGTTGATATATGGGAGAGGGAGGATTGGGCCAAAGGGACAGCTGGGTGAAGGTGTCCAGGGCTGTGGGGAGAGGGGACATTGGCAAAAGGTGGAGGGCAGGGCAGGGATGGGCTGTTTGTGGGGTGCCCGAGGGACACCCAGGGTGGGCAGCAGTGTCCCCCTGGGCTGGGCGCTGTTTCAGCCCCTCTAAATCCTCCAAGCTGCCTCTCTGCTCGCAGGAACCGTCCCGAGGGCAAAGTGCTGGAGACCGTGGGGGTGTTTGAGGCCCCGAAGCAGCACGGGAAATACGAGACAGGCCAGGTAAGCGGTTTTGGGGGGCACAGCTGGCCCTGCGGGCTCCTGGCACAGGGTTTGGGCAGCTGGGGCATTTCCTGTAAGGAAAAGTCAGCAGCAGAAGGCCGGGAGTTTCACAGCTCGGTGCTCCTTGTCTGTGCTGTGTCTGCAGTTTGTCAGTCATCTGACAATAGCAGCTGGATAAGAATCTGCAGCACAACACAACTGTTGTACAATGGCCTATACTCCACTGTCTTGCTTCGGGGTTTTCTCCCTCAAGGATCCAAAGAG